AGGTATGCGGTTGAAGAACGGTTGAGAGGTCAAATGGATGCTTTGGGTTCGCCAACTCCAAAGATGTTGCCATACAACTCAAACGTTTTGGTGAAACGAAAACGATGGCACAACCGCCGTGACTTGATGCCCCGACCGTTTGTTGAGGCCAAACTGCTGTGTCCAAGCCCGGACATGACCAATGGATGGCTTGTGTTTACCACTAAGGAACGCCAAGTTTTGCATGCACGTGAGGCCATTTTGCCTGATCCAGTTGGAGACCAAGTTCACTTGCAACTGGAGGAAGCAGAAGCTGGCTCCAAACCTCCTCGCCGCCTTCATGGCAAGCAGCCTATGCCTGGACATCAACCAATGCGGGTGCCTCTGCCAGAAATGCCACGGGATGACCGTGGGGGGGAGTCCTCTTTGGTTTTTGATGGTTTTGATGGTTTAAAGGGTTGTGAAAAAGGGGTTGAACATGTGCATGAATACCCAGAAGGGGAAAAAGATGAGATCGACCGATGTTTTGAAGAACTGATGAATAAAGAATTGAAAAAATTGGGCTCCACCACCAATGCCAAGGGAATCCCAAAACCCGAAAACCCTGAAAATGATGATGTGGGGGAATACCAAAAACGGGTTGTGGTCAAAACGGAAACCTTGGATACCCTTGAAAAGCAGTTGGGATGGATGCATGAAAATGTGGTTGATTCTCTTCATGACTTGTTGGATGTTGTCCCCTCAAATGAATATCTGGGAAACTTTTGTGGGTCACGAATCGACTGGTTGCAAACGGAAAGGGAATGGTTGGAACAGGATCTCATAACCCTCAAAAAGGCCAAGGAAAACCATGTGGTTCATGTGTGTGGCATGCAACTTGAAAATGGGGAATTGGCAGGTCAGGGGGAGGTTCTTCAAACCACCACCATACCCCTAAATGATGTTCGAAAAGAACTTCCGTTGTGGAAAGAAGCCATGCTGAAGGAATATAACAGCCTGGTTCATGAAACGAAAGCCATTGAACCTGTTGATTTGTCAATGTTGGACCAAGAAAATGTTGAGTTTGTCCCTGGAAAATTGGTCACTGTTCGAAAAGCGGGTCCAAATGGGGGAAAGAAAAAGTGCCGCGCCGTAGTTTGTGGCAACATGCTCAGCAGCGACTTGGATCCAGCTCCAGGGAGTCTCTATGCTTCAGGGGCTGATGGAATTCTCATTCGGGCAACACTGGCTCACTCGGTCGAAATGGATTGGGGCATTGGATTGGCTGATGTTCGCACAGCATTCCTCCTTGCACCTCGACCGAAACCTGTGGAAACTCGGGAGGTTATTGTTGTGCCACCAAAAATCATGGTTGAAGCTCAGGTGTGTAAACCCACGGAAAGATGGAGGGTTCACAATGCGTTATATGGATTTGGCACGTCACCAGCGCATTGGGCTGTCCACAGGGATAACACCATGTCGGGTTTCAAATGGGATCTTGGTGAAAAGCACTTGTACCTCCAAAAAAACCCCGAAGGGAACTTGTGGAAAATCATGCAACAGGGTTCAAATGGTTGTGTTGATGTTTGTGTTGGTCACGTTTTGGTTTATGTTGATAACATCATGGCACTTGCAAAAGATGAGGTTAGGCAATCGTTTTTCGACCGCTTGCAAAAAGAATGGAAATGCAGTGATGTTGAAACGGTTGACCAAAACAATTGGGTGCGTTTTTGTGGGTTCGAGCTTAATGGTTGGCCAAAAAAGCTATACCGCTGAACTGTTAAAAAGACATGATGGTGTTACCCCCAAAACATGTCCCATGCTGAAGTCCGAACATGAAGAACCCCTTGAAGAAAACCTTACCACCGAAGACATAAGGGCTGCTCAGGCGATCACGGGAGAACTCCTTTGGTTAGCAGGTAGGAGTAGACCCGACTTGTCATATGTGGTAGGTGCCATGGGTCGCCAAGTGTCAAAAAGACCAAAGTGGGTTCAAAAGGTAGGAGACCATGTCTTAGGGTTTTTGAGCACAACACAGGACACATGCCTGGTGTACCGCCCTTGCAGCAAGGATCACGGTGCTTTAGGTACTCTCCAGGTACCCCGACATGGACGTTTGCTGGAAGCCTTTGCAGACATCTCCTTCGCTCCGAATGGCGATCGAAGTCACCAAGGTATCATCATTTGCGCTGCTGGATCACCAATTCAGTGGGAAGCCTCTCGACAAGCATTTCATACCATGAGCACAGCGGAAGCTGAGTTGGTAGGTTACTGTGAAGCTGCCACTATGTTGAAATCAGTTGAGGCTCTCATGAAGGTCATTCACAGGTCATGTCCAAGTGATGGTTCGGTTGACGGTTCGCATGTTGACAACAGTTTTGAAAAAGTGGTTTATGGGGATAATTCCAGTGCTTTGAGCATCCTAATGAATCCGGATGGGGGGTGGAGAACAAGGCATTTACGTCTTAGATCCTCATGTCTCCGAGAACTTTTAAGGGATGACCCTCAAAACTGGAAGGTTCGACACCAACGGGGAATCGACTTGCCTGCTGATATGTTGACCAAACCCATAGTGTTGCAAAGGGAATGGATCAAGTTTTGGCATTTGTTGGGTTTTCATGTTGACCCCGAAATCCCAAAATATGGTGAAGACAGCCCCAAAACAAAAACCAAAAACAAACCTACCGTGCCGAGCCCTGCTTCAGGACTTGAAAGTACTAAGGAAAAAACTGAGGAAACTGATGATGACCTCACCGTGAAGAAGGTCAAAGCACTGGTTTGCATTGCTGCGCTGTCTACGGCTGCTATGGCGAAGTGCTATGCATATGACCTGCGGCTGAAGTGCACTAACCTGGTGCTGGAGCTGGCAAAGTGGCTTGCTGCTGTTTGGCATTCTCCACCTTCAAACGAAGGTTTGCCCAAAGAGGCCTGTTCAGTAGGGTGGGAGGTGGAAAAAACATCAAGAGCCATTGGCCTGAAGAAAGTCCAAAAAGCCAGGGGACACGAACCGGCTGCAACAAATCTTCCAAGGGAAAATGAACCTGGAAGATCAACCCTGAAAAATAAAACCTTGAAATGTGTGGAAGCTCCAAGGGAAAACGAACCTGGAGACAACAAGCTTGGGGAGTTTTGGGAACCCTCAAATGAAGTTTGTTGGGATCACCGTGAATACCATACCCCTCAAGAGTTTTGGGATTGTAACCCTGAAGATGAATTTGGGGATTGCGTGGCGTGGCACTCTTGTGGACAGGCGCAACATGTTTTGGAGTCCGTTGGTTGTGACTCTCCAGTTGAAAAGCATGACGTCAGTTCACGGCCACTGTTGGCCGTTAAGGACCACTGCCCCACGGGCTGCCCCAGTCGTAGTTTGGTCAAACTCGCAGCCATGGCGCCGAAGATGTCAAAGCCGAAGCCACCTGTGCCGCCGCAGGTGTTTGAACCTGCTGCTGTCGCTGCGCCGCCTGTTGCTGCTGCGCCTATGCCTGCGGCTGCTGGCCCAAAACGAAAAGCTCCACCGCTGATGCTGCTGTGTGCATCGGCTATGGGAGATGCTGCAAGCTCTGCGGGTCGTCCAAAGCAAGACCCCTACATCGGCACTTTGCCGAAGTTCCCGCCTGCGAGAAGGGAGGCTGAAAAGGCCCAGAAGAAATCTGGGGGTACGGGGCTAGATGAAATGCCTCGACATGGACCTTGGTTGGATGAAAAATACCGCCAGCCAAACACAACTGGAAAAAAGGACTCTTGGTCCGTTGCAAAATGTGGGAATGAGATCTTCCTGGTGAAGGTCCACAGAGCGCCTCGAAAACAGCGCTTCCACCCACTGCACCGCTCAGCACCTGTTGAGGCGAAGTTTTTGACAGGTGAGAGGGTTACCAAGGCCTTTTTCCTGAACCCTGCTGATGATGGTCCGGGATTTTTGGTCTCTGACAGATGGGACAATCCCGTTGTCCGGTCCGAAGCAAAATGGACTGGGTACACTTTCCTCACTATGAGGAACGAAGCTTTGGAAGGTCTGAAAATACAGCTGGAACCAGCTGATACCGCTGATGGACCTCCGTGGCCTGCTGCTCCCCCTGCAAAGGAGGACGACATGGACGTGCACGTCGGTCTTCACAGCGAAATGCTGACTCCAAGGCGCCAAAGACCCCAAAGGGAACCTGGCCTGGTAATCGGCCGTTTGTACCTGGATGGATGTTTGGCTTCGAGTGGAACTGGGACTTTGTCAAGTGCTGAGTCTCAGGAAACAAGGCTGGTCCCTATGCATGACCCGACCAGCACCTACAACAAGACTTCAGGAACTACCTCGGTGGGATACAATCGTGGTGGTGGTGGCATCATTCGACGTGGTGTTGCCGCTCTGGAGCCGGCTTCTTCGAGCTCTGGATATGACCCACGACTCCCAAGGTCCTACTTGCCTCTGACAGAGGATTGGGATGTGCCGCTGGTAGAATGGGCTCTTGTCACTGATGACGAGGATGAAGAAGATGAAAACCTCAACAATGAGGAGGAAGAGCCTGCGCCTTGAGGATCTGGCTACATGCTGCTGGAGCTCTACTGAGGGCCGGAGGCTTGGTTTTGAATGTTTTCCTGAACTGCAGTAACCTGCAGGGGGGAGTGTGGTTCACCCGATCGAGCCATAACTCCATTTGCAGTTACATGTGGTCAAAGGACCATAAGGTTCAAAAGTTGGATGGCATGCAACATGGCATGACCACCTGCACAAAGATGACACGCCATTGAACAAATGGCTCAAGATGCAAGCTCTTGAAAAGATAGAGCGCGTCAGCAGCTGCAAAGTTGCACCTGTGTGAAAACCACGGAAAGGAATACACATTGATTCTATACATCTGGATACTAGTACTGGGGAGTCGAGGATTCTTGTCTCCGAGTTTTGGTGCCATCAAGTAGGCCCTCCTGCACCAATGGTGAGGATCTCCATGATTTCAACCAAAGTCAGGGTCACTAGATGTCACTCTAACTGGCCTAACCCCCTGTTTCCTCAACATTCCTCAACCATGTTGAGCCAGAAGCTGGATGGCCAGGAGCCAAAAACTCTAGAAGTGGAGGACGCAGGGGCTTCAGCATCAGTTGGTTCCTGGTTGCTTTGTGGTTGTTGAAAATTTGGATACACTCAACCGGGAGGGCGGAAGTCTGATTGCATGGAACCCAGCTGGGTGTTGACCATGGAATGGGAGCGAAAAACGCGCTGACTTGTAGAGATTCTCTATAATTAAAACTGCTGAGTCGTTCCCTCTACAGTCTTCAAAAAGGAATCGAGAGAAAACAGACTCGGTTTACAGTGTAGTTGCTTCCTTTCCAATCTTTCCAGAGTTGTCCCTCAGGCATTCGCATATATATATAATATACATACACCATTATACACCATATTATCTACTTATTAATTATCTAGAATCAATGCAATGTGTTTGAGTGTCATCCTACAACGTTGCATGGGATGATCTGGGATGCAAGGCTTTCAGAAAATTCGGATTCCACGCTTTCATACGTTTTCCACGTTTATCAAAAACAGTGAAACATCGCCGTCGCCTCACCGCACAAGGTGGGGCATGGAGAGCAAAGCCCTTCGCGGCAGGCTCTTTGCCCCAGAGATGTGACATGACGTGACATGCGACCCGTGACACCATGCGACACCATGCGACACCATGCGACACCATGCCACACCATGCCACCTTCTCGTATCCGATGGCCCAGGCTGCAACCAGAAAGAGCTCAAACGCCTCGATTTGCGTCTCAGAGCCACTTGCTCCCAGCGAGGTGTCTGCCATGGCGGGCGCACAGATGCGAGCTGATCAGTTCACCAAAGCCTAACACTGGGATATGAGTGACGGCTTTTATTTGGTTAAGTGAAGAGCAGTATTGGGGCGTACCCTGGTTGCCGAAAATATATTATTTAAGTTGCAAAACGAGATAGGGAGACTGGGAATGGAAAAGCGAGTTAGGCAGCACCCAAGTGAACCAGGTTTTCAGCGCATCTGACGCCAAAGAGAAATTTGACGAGGTAAATTGATGTTAACACTCCGTCAATGACATGATGTACCAAATTAAATATTGCCTGCGGCTCGAAACATAAAGTTTGGAAGCATGAAATTATCACATATTATCACGATATTGGCATATCTCGAAATATGTTGAACATTGTTGAACCAACCTTTGACTCAATATGTGAAACAATATGATAAACTTGATAAACAATATAGAAACATATGACACCCCATATACCCCTGACGCACCCGCAGGTCGGTTCCATGTCACCCTCGGAGAAGAGCCATGCGGTAGATGCGCCACGCACAGCTGGGCCGTGGCGCATAGCACAGCGATCGAGGGAGCCGACTGAGGCCCGTAGATTCCAGTGTTATTACTGTGGATAATTATATTAGATCTTAATGGTACTTCTAAGATCTTCTAAGAATCCAAAGTGACGGGCAGTTTGAAGATGTTTGAAGCAGCGGAGCATTGGAAACCACTCACTTCCACAGGCTCCTCCCGCAACACGGGTGAACTCGAATGGCTCTGTCTGCGTCTCGGAGCACTTGGCACCCAGCGAGGTGCCAAGGGCCGCCAGGGCCGCCAGGGCCGCCAGGGCCGCCAGGGCCGCCAGGGCCGCCAGGGCCGCCAGGGCCGCCAAGGGCCAGGATGAATGTGGCATAATGTGGTATTCTGCTGAACAGAATTGTTAAAGATGTTGAAACAATTTGAAACATGTCTGCACTATATAAATGACACTGACACTCTGTGTGCTTGGGTTGACTTTGCGGGCTGCTGTCCAAACTGCAGAGTGATAAGATGGGATTCAACAAGGAACAAAAAGAATGTAAACCAAGTTTGTAATATTTAGATTTTATGACAGTCTTGGACAGTCTTGCATAGTTTTGCCCTGTGTCAATAGTGAAGTGGACACTTCTGACATGTTCTGACATGTTCTGACACTTCCAATTTGACAGAACTGTGTGAAGTCACTGGAGTCACTGGCAGTGAAGGTTGGCTCCACGACTGCCTCAGCATCTGAGAAGACAGCGCCTTCTGAAGCTCGAAACATCTGGCGTTCGGAGTGCGCCCAGCGCGAGCCGCCGGAGGCGGTGTGCCACTCCGACTCGGAGCCGGAGCTGCCGCTGCCGAGTCAGCAGGAGCTCGCCGAGGTGTGGCGACGGGAGAGTGCCGCTTAAACCAGAGATTTCCGGTACAAAATGGTACCTAAATGAGTCGCTTAAAGGAGCCAAATAATGACTAAAGCAAATCAGCAAAACACACCTAACTGAGATTGTTGTGAAATGTGGTGAAATCAAATTCGGATGCAACACATCAAATACACATCGGCAAAGATTCAAATGTACACACCATGAAGTCGATTTTGAGCAGTTGCATCGCGTTGAGCCGCTGAGCACAGCTCTGACCAACAACTCCATGGTGACAGGAGATCAACTCGCGTTCCAAGGCTGCCGTGGATTTGGTCATTGCCATTGCAAATGGCAATTCAACTTGTGATACTTGTGATACTTGTGCCATTTTGGAGGGAACGAAATCAAACGAAATCCATGTGAGGGGTTCAGACCTACAGACTAATTGATCTAATTGAAGGTTGACTATTTCGATTGGGTCCGCATTCATCGCATTTCAAATTGAAAGCTCACAGAGCTGAACTTTCGTGATGAAGAGATTGAACATCTTTGTTGGAGCGAATGGCACACTCTGAGAATCGCGGTGCTACCAACTCCAAACACATGATTCACTGTCATTGCTACATTTTTGCGCTCCAGGCTATCTATGTTTTGCTTGTTTGGACATATTTGGATGATTTGGATGCATGAGGCTATGTTATGGTTTCTTATGGCTGTTGCTGATCCCCTTCCCAGCGGTTTCCGCAGGTGCAGAGAGGCAAGACAACTGCGGGGGACTTTCAGCAGTTGCCAAGCGGTAAACCACGTGTAAAGCTTCATAGTTGCCAAAGTTGCCAAGCGGCAAAGTGCCAAGATCTGTCAAGGGGCAATCAGGGGCAGCATGTACAGAGAGTGTAAGGGATTCCTGTTGCAGTGAGGTGTGTGGCGCACCTGGTGTATTGGTGACATATGAACAACTCATTACCTCAACTGCTTGACGAATTCTGAAAAACCATAAAAAAAGCAAGCACTTACTATCTGAAGAGCCATAGACTAGCTCTGTTGACTGGTAGTTCATGATCATCAGCAGCCACATGCAGCCACAATGTGTCATGATTGACACAGAGCCATAGCACGCTGTGTCAGGCCCAAATAACAGTCTATGGTGCCGTGCACAGCGTGCTTATGCGGAGGAGAGGGATTGGAGGTCAAGGTACCAGGCCATGACGCCCTTTGAACTTTGAAAGAAAAGCAGTAAGCAGTAATTACCAAAAAACACATCCATTTGGACCATTAAATATCATTAAATGCCAGCATCTTGAGAGAATATCTTTATTGTGCATAACCTCTATTTGAATATATTTGATTCATCATTGGTCCCTGGTAGAAACATTAGAAACTCCACAAACCCTGCTTGCATCTGTCAAGGTGACTGTCACTGAGTAGCCCTCAGCCCTTCTAGCTCTAGCTCTTCAGTGCAGGATTGTGCCAAGCAATGCAGAAGACCCCAGGAAATGGGCTGCAATGAAGAAGGCACGAACACGCCACTGAAATCCCAACAGCATTTGCAGCATTGGACTTCATTGGACCATCATCTTTATGCCATTGACCATCATTCTTGTGCCATTTCCATCTATTTCCTAAGTTTCTGTACCAAAAGTTTGATAAGTTTGTTACTTCGCATTCATCAAACCATTCATCAAACCATTCATCAAACCTCTCCTCGGCATCGATTCGACCCCTTGAAAGGTGATGCCCTATGGCTCGATTCGAGGCCGGGCCCAGGGTATTCGGTCTCTCATGGTCTCTCTGATTGCTTTGGATAGGAAGAGGCAATGGAAATAGCATGAAATAGCATGAAATAGCAATGTATGAGAGTGTGTCAGGAGTACCAAGATACTCTATCAATCTCTGACATGCTTTCTACTTTCCAGGATTCTGAGACAGAAGCACTTGCAAACATGCAACTAACCATTGCGCACTCCGTCATGTTCCATTGAATGAATGGCATCGGAACCGGTATACAAACTGTACAAATCCATACAACGTATTGATGGGAAACAGTAGTGATCCAGAAGCGCATGGCATGACTTTCTGCAGGGTTGCACAAAGTCGATTAGTTGGACTTCCGTGGCCTTGGCTCAAGTGTCTTCACGATCTATCCATATGTCTCGGATCTGGTGTGCCTTGTCCATCGAATAGTCACATATTTGGCTATGACTTGAAGGACTACAAGGATCTACAAGGGAGAATTCCCATCTTCGGTGCTGTACTGGACTTGGTACACTTGGTACACTTGGTCAGCTAAGGACGTACCACGGATGCTGCGGCTGAGCACGTTGGTCATTTTGGCCACGGCCAGCAGGTGTGCAGACAGCGAATGTGAGGCCTGGAATCGTGGAGCCGAGGAAGTCATAGGAAATCGAATGTCGTCCCACCGGTGGCCACATCGAAAAAAAAAAGTTTGAGAATTTTGATGCGAACCTTTCCAGGGGAAAACCTGATGGAAACATATGGACTATCATATGGACACCTTTTGAATGGACGACATTGGACGACACCAAGGACATTGGACAACATCGCCAGGTCATAAGGCCGCCAGTAGGTTAGCCATGACATGCCACGACCGGCATCTCGCAGGCGAACTCCTTGTTGCAGCATGGAGCACCTTGCCTTGGGACGAGGGGCGTCCGTACGGTAGAGAATGGTCATTCTATGCATCTGGCCATTGGGCCATTGGATGGTCATTGGAATCTTCCAAATTGAACAGGTTCCTGTTTGGTGAGCAGATCAAAGCAGCTTTCAAACAAACTTGAGACGGTTTACCAAGTAAGTTTCTGGTCGTTTCTATCACATCAGAAACCATTCTTATCCGGGTTGTTCCATGAATCAATTGGGAGTGCTGCGAAGTAGCAGAAACGCAGCTTCACCCCTAGAATCGGCAAGATTGTGCCTTGTTGAGGCAAGCCACAGAAGAAAACAAGCAGAGGATGATCTATCCATTTGCAGAAATCCTCGCAGCTTGGCAACGATGCATTCTTATCTTGAAATATCTTGAGATATCTCCAGAGTGGAACTTGGAAGATGGGGAAGGAACAGTCCGAGAGTGAAATGTCAACGGATCTGAAGCCCGCAATGGGACTGATGCATTGATGGAAGTCACCGAAACTTAGCGGTCAGTTAGTCAGGTAGTGGCGTTTTCACACATTGCTTGCTGACAGCCAAGGTCAGATGGAATGTGACATTTTTTGGAACCCTTTTTCGAAAAACGCAGAAGCTCAGCCTGCATTGAAGCATTTGTTGGCAGGAAGTACTACCGCCTGTTTGTTTGAACATTTAAGACATTGATTGAGCATGAGGTAGAGACAAACCAGGCCTGGGCTTTATACAGAATATTATAATATGAGCTCTGCAATCAAATGGCCGCCCATCTGGCACGCCAACGGCTACCCATCCATGAGCGACGGATTAGATTATCCCACATATTTCGCAAGATCAAGTCACATCATCTGAGGCACAGACTTCGTGCGGCTTTGGTGCCGTTTGCATGACAGCTGGTTCTAGTTTGCCAAACGTGTGCAAGTGCCAAATGGGCTCGATTTGTGGTCCAGATGGGGCGTGTAGAGCGAGATCAACTGAGGCGGGGATGATTGACGAGTTGCCGCTTTCTGGGATGGAAAGAATTGAAAGAAAGGGAGAACACCATGACATACCATGACATACCATGACATACCATGACATACCATGACATACCATGACATACCATGACATACCGTGACATACCGTGACATACCGTGACATACCGTGACATACCGTGACAATCACAAAATTCGATCAAATTGCGCTTGAACTTCCAGGGCCTGAAAGGGTCTTGAACTTCCAGAGCTTGTGAAACGCCCTTGAGTTTTGATCGTTTTGGATGTCATGCCTGATCATTTCGGAAGTAGATTCCTAGAAGACAGTGTCCATGGAAGACATGGTTTAGGATTCTGAAGCCATTGCATCATATTGCACCCTCTTCTGTGCCATGTCAAGGGAAAATCTCCAGCAGCCGCACCTGCGACTGGAGGATCTGGAGGCTCCATGCTGGCCAAATAGGTGTAACAGGGCAGTTTTGGCCTTCTAGCTGAGTTGACATATGTGATAAAAATTGATACATGGCAATAATAAATATTGAATAATAAAGTATTGACCTTGACATGATAGTTGACACAGAAATCGCACAATTCATTATAATTCATCTCTCATCTCTTCAACGGAGCAGGAAATTCTAAAGCAGTTTTGTCCATTGTGTCGCTCTCCGGATCAATGCAATAGCTGTGGCTATCGAAGGGACGGTTGACAAGTATATAATATTAACTAACCATCATGCGAGCATATGTGAGTAGTTGTTCGTTTGCAAATATCAATACAGAGGTCACGAGCCAATAGGTCCTTGAATCTTGAAGACACAGGTGCTCAGGTGCACGAGTCCTACTGCACCAACGAGCGTGCTCAGCCGTGCAAAATTGGAATCTGAGCTGAATTCTTTTTCCTAAGAAAGACATGAACTGCGTGCGTATGTACCACATATTCTTTTAATACATACAATTGAACCGAAGAGGAACATGCAGGACCAGTTTGCCATGCAGTTTGTAAAGCCCAAGCTTTGCGCTTGCTGGTAGTTTTTTGCTAGTTTTTCCAGCAGCTATAGCAATCGTATGCGTTTTTCGTACTTGTGATGTAGAAATTACCGCCAACCCATTTGTTTTAATTGCACCTTCGAATTTTCCCGGGCGTTTTTCCAGACCTTTGTCTTCCTTCAAGGTGGTTTAGGAATATCATGACGCAAGTTTGGGTGTCTCTATGCTCTTAGGCTTTACGCCTTTTGATTCTGCCGCAATGGCCTGTGGCGACTTTTCTGCAGATGAAAAGGATTCGTCAGCGCAGATCATTGAAATGATGCACAGTGGTGTTTTTTCACCGATTTCTGTTCCTTTTCACTTAGGTGTGTCTGAAAATAGTGTACCCCAAAATTTGATGGTTAATCATTTTCCCATTAAATTGCCACGTGGGGCGTATATATACCTTGTTTTCACACACGCCAACTTCAATGTCGCTCATACGACTGATGTAGTTTCTCCATGTTTCTCGCACTGTGGAGACTGCCTGTGCCAAGGCTTCGGGCAAACATGTCAGCAAGTTGCTGACGGACGTGCGCTTTGCCAGTGTGCCATGGGCGCCTGTGGTTCGGATGGAAACTGTGCATTCTTCAATCCTTTCGATCCTTTTGCTTCGCAATCCCCAAAGGCCTGGCAGATCTGGCAGATAGCGCTTCAAGAATTCGAATGCTGACTACCAAATCACAGGTCATAGAAGGTAGAACGACGATTTTAGGATTTTTTAGATTCAGATGATGAAGGGAAACTTTTCTCGTTTCGCTGGCCCCCAGATCGAATGTTCTGGAGCTTGGCAGGAGGCACAACCTGCAGCGCCTGCAGCCGCGGTACCTGTAGAAGATGGGGTACCAGAAGATGCGGCTCCCCAAATTGAAGGCTTTGGATGGGAGATTTAGAGCTCCGATGGCTGGCAGTGAAGCAACATCATTTTTCAGCCACTTCCCTTGCTCTCTAAGTCTTAATTTCGCTGGTGACATGCATGCACTAGAGGAATGTTCCTGATTTGTCTATTTTCTTGTCACTCCACCGCTGTGCTCTGTTCACTAGTGCTTAAAGGCTATTGGGATCTTAGGCTCATTGCGCTTGGGTGAATTAGCCCAGTCAAAAAATATACAGGGATCAGGGCATAACAAGCACACCATCACTAAGCCACCAAACCAAATTGGATTCTATGGTCACTCCTGGACCTGAGAGAAGCAGGAGTGTATGCTTTAGCAAAAAAAACATTGTAACAAGACTTCCGACCGGGAACAAAACACACATGGACACATGGAGTATATTTGTGCAATATGCATGCGTCTCTTGAAAAGACGAAGTAAATGGGCTGTTCAAGTAAGTGAATGGCCGAACAACCACCTAAGCCAAGTAAGTAACCAGCCTTGAGTACTTACGACCTTGACAAACACGGTCGAATCTGGTTTTTTTCACTCCAGTGCGGAATCTGGGTGCTAGAACGAGAGCTTTCTTGGATATCCAACGGATAACGGAAGAAATGGTCCTGGCTTAGTTTAGTGAACTGTTTTTTAGTGAGCACTCTTGCACTGTTGCAGTGTATCGCTTCAGCGCAGGTGCCGGTAAATTGGATGCTTCTTTTTGCACCAACACACGTGCTCGGGTGTGCAAGATAGGAGCCTGGGCTGATGACTCGCTGATTAGGATCGATCAATCAAGAGCATATCAAGAGCCAAGTGGTTTGAAAGTGAGGCCATACCACGTGTTTGGACCATTTTTGGACCTTTCAAATCCTTTTGCAAGGGTTTGTATATTAAGTCAAATCATGTTTTCATATTTTTCTCTCAACTATGATACGGCCCGTTGCAAGTGCTGGAAACGCTTTGCGCTTTCCTTTTGACATGGGAAAACATGCCGGAAGACAGTTGACACAACTCCTGCCACACAGCTGATTTTTTTTGATAGTACAACCGCACACGACGGCCATGGACAGAACAGCGAAATTCACTGAGGCTTCACACCCTTCTTCGATTCTCATGACTTGGCATGTGGCACCTTGGCAGAGACAAACAAAGAATTCCAAGCCACCCAGAGACTGGTTGACGTCACTTGAAGTTGATAGGTACTTCATAGATCTTGGTATAGCCAGAGGTAGACTTCAATGGGTGCCAGATGCCGACTGTGTTCAGCCACGCTCAGCTACCAGGCTTCGGGCAAACATGTCAGAAAGTTCCTGATGGACGAGCGCTTTGCCAATGTGCCATGGGCATGGGCAGCTGCGATGCAGATGGAAAATGCGGAATCAACCCGTTGGATCCTTTCGGGCAACAGACACAGAAGGCCAGCAAGTGCTTTCAAGGATGACGCAAAACGTGGTAAAGGTGGTTCAAACATGTCCAAACATCATTTTCTCAATTTGAGTTTAAGATTCAAGCGAAAAAGGGATGAAAAAGGTATTGAAACCGCTGGTCTGGTTAGCCAACGGCTTGTTTGTCCTTTGCAGACGACTGAAGGTCAGAGCCCGGTCTGCTATGCTGGAGAAGTATGGAGAAGTTATGTTCGATAACAGCCATACAGTAGCACTGAGGGACAGCAAAGGTAGGGCGTTGGAAGATATTGCGATCATTTGTATGTAAAGATATATGTAAAAATATGTAAAGATGTCATCAACACATGAAATGTGTCTTGTAGTAACTTGTAGTAACTTGTACTGTAATGCTTTGTTTCTTTTTGGAAACGAAGCCCAGGGCGCTACAACTGCTGCGCCCGAAGCACCCTCTGCAGTACCCGAAGCAGCCGCAGCAGGAGCTGCAGGAGCTGCGACTGAAGGCTTTGCCTCAGCAAAGCTTGACATTTGGAAAATAAATTGGCCATTATTATATACATATGCTATCATATGCTGATATATGCTGCTCTTATACATTATTAATTAATTATTATTATTTTCATACTATTATCACAATTCTTTTTGGAAGAAAGATGTCCTAAAGTAGCAATCCCGAGTCACGACCCACTTGGACTTTGTGATCATTCGTGGGGAATCATGCACGATCATGCACCGATATGCACGGTAACCACTGTAGTCTTGGAAATCGACGCAGTGATTGCCGTTGAGGCTGGAAATGTATTGTGAAGTTTGGATGTGGATGTGCCACCTCGCTTGAGGTGCTCCATTGGACAGTTCCTTTTGCACCAACCAACGAGCGCAGCAGTGCAAGATTGGAGTCTAGGCTGAGATTGTCATGCAACTTTGTACAAGTGGAATCAACAAATGGGTTGATTGTTTGTTGATGCTATTTCTATCTATTTCCTTTGCACTTTTTTTGGACTTTCAAGACAAAGCAGCCTATATGCCTAATCCGGAGAAACATGAATCAACTCCTCCGGCCGCGCTTGTCAAATCAAGCAGTGATTGGTGCTTTCTTCGTCACTGTCAGATTGACACCACTGCTTTAACGGACTTCCTAAAAGCAGCGTTTCCACGGAGCTCCAACGCATTCCGGTACCATCTGGTACCCTTCTTTTCACCCTCCGAGGCTTCATACCCTTTTCCGATTCAGCGGATTTGGCGTGTGGTGCCTTTGCAGATTGGAGACCGCTGTGGATAATTATGCTACGCAGTAAGAGAAGCTGGATACATTTGGATACCAATTCTCTGTACCAGTTGAATCCTACTCTGTGACATTTGCAGCTCTTTCGTGAAACTGGAATCTGTTCAGGTGGCACAAATTGCGTAGTTCGAAGCTGGAGAAGAACAATAGCGAGCTCAAATTCTGTAGGGATGTTGTTGGCACCGTGATGTACTGATACAGTTTGTACTATGTAATACTGGCATGCTCAGCAACAGGGGCGTGCGGCAACTTCTGAGGTTTTGGACAAACTTGTCAGCAAGCTGCTGATGGACGTGCGCTCTGCAAGTGTGCTGTGGGCAGCTGCACTTCAGATGGAAGCTGCGGTGGATTCGAAGATACTTCTGCACAGAAGGTTTGGAGCTGCACAGACTTGGTTAATTATTTATATATATAGGGTGATATATGAAGTTTAGAAGTCAAACTTCCGACTTATGGACAGATGCAACAACAGTGGTGAGAGCGGTCAGAGAAGAGAAAGAGTCAGAAGAGAAAGAGTCAGTAGACAGAAGATCAAGCTGCGCGAAAAGGTAGAAAAGTTGCGAAACACTGTGTGTTTCCAATGTTTTGTGGCTCCGGAGGGTGGAACAGATTCGAAAAGTAGGCTTGCTAAAGCGGCGGGTGCGGAACCATCTGGTCGTATGAGAGAACAAAAATAGCACGCGGCTGTGGCGCGAAAGCACATTTTGACGCAAAGTCGGAGCACTTCTGGAAGTTGAGTTCTCGAAAAAGTGCACGCCGTCGTGGCGCGAAGCACATTTTACAGTCAAAATGCGAAAAAACACAACGTTCGGACCACTTTTGACGTTGAAGTGTCATTTTTTTCTGGCAGGCGCAGTGGATTCCGCCCCCTTGCCAAAAGTGAGCCGGACGCGTGGGTTTTACAGCGGTTTCAAAAACGGCTAGATAGATAGATAGATAGATAGATAGAGAGAGAGAGAGACAGACAGACAGACAGACAGACAGACAGACAGAGAGAGAGAGAGAGAGAGACAGACAGACAGACAGACAGACAGACAGACAGACAGACAGACAGACAGACAGACAGACAGACAGACAGACAGACAGACAGACAGACAGACAGACAGATGAGAGAGAGAGAGATAGATAGACAGACAGACAGACAGATGAGAGAGAGAGAGAGAGATAGATAGATCGACAGACAGACAGATGAGAGAGAGAGAGAGAGATAGATAGATCGATAGATCGATAGATAGATAGATGGATAGATGGATAGATAGATGGATAGATAGATGGATAGATAGATAGGTAGAGATGGAGAAGGAGAAGGAGCTAGTGATCGATAGCGAGAGAGGGAGATAGAGAGACAGAGAGAGAGATATATATATATATATAATATAATAGAGAGAGAGAGAAATATAGAGAGATAGCTGGAGAGAGATCCAGATAGATGTGCAGATAGATACAAAAATAGATAGGCAGGAAAACAGATACATAGAAATGATAGAAAACAGACAGATAAAGACAGAGACATGGAGAGAGAGAGAGAGAGACAGAGACAGAGACAGAAACTCAGCCACATTTCAGTCCATCAGTGGATTCGCTCTGCCATCCATGCATCACGGCAATTCACCTCTCCTGTAGCTTCCTACCTTTGAAACTTCCACCACCGCCTTGTGCGGTACTACTGGTATACTGTAATGTAGCAGCAATGACCTGCGAGCTGAACACTTCCAACATCGTCCAAATATGACTTAAAACCCAGTTGTGTTCTGGGGGTACAGCCAGGGTGTGAACGTGTGCAAGCATTGGATGGGTCGGGGGATTCTGGCCATAGCGACAGATGAGTGCTAAAGGCAGTTTGATCGGTGAATCGAATTTGTTGCATGGTTATCTTGCCTCGATCAGCATATCCCTGTCACCAACGGATTTTCAGCGAGAAACCAAAGTAAAGTGTAGCACATTCTCAGACATCCCAGTATTCCAACCGTAGGCTGAACATGCACATGGTGCAAGGATGCACAAGGTGCTGAAGGCATTTTGAAAGTTCTGTGTGCGTTTAGCCTCTAGCAGCTCTAGCTGTGTGTCATTGACTGGGCACCCAACATGCAGCCAACATGTAGCATTGTCACTGTGAAGTGCGTGGACGTTCCTCCGTGTCCTGAGACCAATGCCACGGCAGCGACACCTGATGCGACAGCTGGCGCGACCACTGATGCGACCGCTGACGCGACGACTGATGCGACCGCTGACGCGACTGCTAACGCAACTGCAGGCGGGTTTCCGGATGCAGCTGGGGTCACTGTTGTTTGTTCATTCGGACTTCTCCTCGATATCAAAGAGCAGGCAGACCTCTCCAAGATCCTGTTGTAGCAGCAGGAGACTGTGGTATCAGGAGGGTTGCAGAAACAACAAAACAGAAACGAGTTGGTTCTTTTTCTCAATTTTTGCATGGGAGAAATATGAGAAAGCTACATTCACTGCCCAGTGACAACACCCGGGCAGGAACCGCTAGCACTTCATTGGATGAATCTTTCTGCACCAACCAGCGTGTGCAAGCATGCAAAATCAGTTTCTGAGCCGAATGCATCCGAATGCTTGGAGCTTCGCTGGGTACATGCAGTAGATGTTGCATGGAGATGAGTTTTAGGCTCGATGTGTTGGAAGGCTGTACAGGTGCATTTTGCAAGAAGGACAGACCTGTAGTTGCTTCTAGAATAGTAGGCCCTTCGAGTGGCATGACCTTCAAGATGTTTGCTGCCCACGTGTTTGCTTCAATTGATTGATATTTTTTGGCAGCATGTTTACCCTTGACCAGATAGTGAAGTTGAAGTGTTCGTTGCAGAGCCTAAACAGCAAGTGTCATTGGCACCTGTACTTCCCAGCATGGCCCACCCCAGGCTTCAATCCATTTTCCGATTCTGCCGATGCAGCGTGCGGCGCCTTCGCTGCAGACGGACAGATGGGCAGGGAAGGTCAAAATCATTGGCCAACAAAAATCCTGCCGGAGGCAATGCATTCACAACCCCAGCATATCAAACATGAGCATGCTTTCGACATCAAATAGCGGCCACTGGGCCGACGCACATAGAATCACATGGCACGCAAGAACTTCAGCGAAATACAAAAGTGCTTTGTTTGCAAAGTAGCAACAAGTTGCTCATTCTGTACCTGTCAGACATAGTAAAATTATCATGTCGATCCATGTCCTATGGTACCCCAGTACCTCTGCAATAGCTTTGAATCACTCGAGAAATACTGGTAGGCAAGGAAGTCTGACCGCAACCATGAGACTGCAATGCTGTAGCCATGTTGAGGCCTTGGACAAACCTGTCAACAAATTGCGGACGGACAAGCACTTTGCAAGTGTGCCATGGGTATTTGCCAATCAGATGGCAGCTGCGCCTTGAAGAAGGCGCGGAAAATGCCGAGACTTCAAAGGAGCCAGGTACAAAGTAGTCCGAGAAGTGATAACTAATGAGAATCACAAGTATTGTATGTGTATGTACAGCATATGTGTGCAGGTTGTAGCACTGTATAGCATTGATTGCTGTTGCACTAAGTAAGCTTTTGTCACTGCTGCTATTACAAACCATTGACCGGATACATTCACTGTGTTTTGCTTTGAGGATGTTTGAGCTCATCTTAAAGTCACCGGTGGTCTTTGTAGGAAGGTGCAAGACAATCCAGTCCGCTTGACCAAGCGTCCCATGCCTTGTTAGACATGGGAAAACCTCCATCCCCTCTGCCCCTGATGCGAGACCGACAGCACGGTATCTCAAGGGACCAACCAGACAGGCCTTGCGTGAAGAGTCGAGTCGTGATGGCGGCTTAATCATGCTAATCCATTTGATCCAAGTCTTGATGCGTGATGCATGTGGGGTCCAGCGTGCTGGCCATCCTGAATCAAATCGGCTTATTTCCAACCAAAGGAGGGAAGAACTTGCAGGTCTTGCGTCTTTTCAATTCTGTTCTTTTGATGTTCTTTGTTCAATGTTGCTTGTTGATCGTTGCCGCCACACACGGGCAGGTGCCGCTAGCGGTTCCCTAGACGCATCTTTCTGCACCAATCAACGTGCTCAAGCTTGCAAGATCGGAGTCTAAGCTGCAAGAATCTGCCAAAGTCATTTCGAGGCATTTGAGCGTTGAAGTCGTTGTCTTGCTATCCCACTGTCACACCTATCTCCTCCTCCTTCTTAGCATCCTCCTCATCCTCCTGAGACCCGCTTCTAATCCTTACATGCATCTGGAAAAACCTCAACTGTCGGTTTTCCAACCTTACTTCGGGCGACAAAAACACATTTAATATTACACAATATTTTTCTAACTTCAAAATTCGAGAGTTAATGCAAGTTTGATATGTTTAAGCACGTGAATACAATACACTGACAAGGTCGAAAACAGATTTTGAAACCTGATCCAAATATGTATACGTATTGTTGGCAATGCATCTCGCCGGTCCTGCGGCTCGTTTGGAGCTAGTAATACTCCAGTAAAGCCTGGAGAAATAATTTCTGGATTGGAGCACATGGTCATATTTCTTCTTCAACACATTGTTTGTAAAAGTCCGATTCATGACGTGAATGTGGCTGGAGGCCACGGAGATGTTCCAACAAACCGCTTTTTAAGAAAACATATGCCCAGAAAAGGCTGCATGTAGTGTTGGAAAATGTACTACAGACATGTTAGATTTTAGATGATTTTAGCAAAATTTCAGAAAAAAAAAACTAGATGTTCGGCAAAATATATTAGAAATAAAAAGGGTCTTGGCAAAAAGATACTTTGCCAAGATTCGATCTTTTAACTAACTATATATAATATCTGGCCAAAAGTCGACCTTTTTAAAGTATAGCTCTTCAAACAATCAAGCCCCTCATTTATTTTACTCAAGTCCGATTTTGACCAGCAACAAATTTTCCACGTGTCATGTATGGTTGTTAGATGTTGTTAGTATGTTGTCAAATTTGAACCTTTCAAAAAAAAAACCGTTCGCAACCGTCCGCAACCGTCCGCAATGAGAACCATATGGCCGTACCTATAGCGATTGCTGGAAAAGGTGTCACTTTTGAGGTTTGAAAGGACGCGTAAAGTAGTTTTGTGTGGCACGTTGCCCTTCGTGACATTCTCACGTGTGTCATAAAGTGCCGAAGGTCGATTTTGTGTGTGACAGGCGCAACACTTTTGAGATGCTGTCAGAAGATGATTTGCATGTTTCGTGGCAGCCGCAGCACTTGATTTAGAGACCATTCATTTCCGGTGGCAGGCGCAGCACTTTAGACGTGTGGTGTTGTGTGTTTTTTGCGAATCGCAGGGCTGCGTCCGGTGTGGTGTCAACGTGCACGTGGCAGGCGCGGTACATTGTGAGAGTGTGCTTTTTTCGTGGCGGGCGCAGCATTTAGTGAAGTTCCGAGGGCCAAAAGTCGTGGAATTCAAACGGCATTGACAAAGGCCAACGCCTTAATTACTTTCCTTTGGTTCAGGATTGCGCGATACACACACATGTACATATATTAATATGTAAACAAATACATAGATAGATGCAAAAAACAGTAAACTACTTTACTTCGAGTGATCCCCGCCGTGACATAAATTTGTCATAGTTTCTGACATCATCTCATCTGGACGTATATATGATATATGCATGCATTTTCTGACATTCTATTCTGGCATTATATCTGGCATCTATTGTATTATCGTATCTGGCATCCTTTCTGGCATCTTCTTCTTTGGCTTTCTATCTGGCATTCTTTCTATAATATTCTATCTGGCATCTATTCTGACATTCTTTCTGCCATCTATTTTGGCAATCTATTTGACATTCTATTCTGCCATTCTATCTGGCATTCACTCTGGAATTCTTTTTGGCATCTATTCTGGCATTCATTCTGGCATTCTTTCTGGCATTCTATCTGACATTCTATTCTGGAATTTATGTTGATATTTTCTCTGACATGTTGGGAGGAGGGGAAAGGAGGAAGGAGGAAGAAGGACGAAGGAGGGAGGAGGAAGGAGGAGGAAGTAATTCCGATAAAATCTAGGGACCCTCACCGGGCAGTTGGGGAATAAACAAGGAAATAAATATAAGTAAGTCTATTTAATAAGTAAATTTACTAAATTAAACAAAAAAAATCAACCAATCAAAAAATGGGAATGAATGAATGAATGAATGAATGAAATGAAATGAAATGAAATGAATTGAAATGAAATGAATGAATGAATGAAAAATGAAATGAATGAATGAATGAAATGAAATGAAATTAAATTAAATTAAATGAAATGAAATGAATGAATGAATGAAATGAAATGAAATTAAATTAAATTAAATGAAATGAAATGAATGAATGAATGGATGAATGGATGAATGAAATGAATGAATGAATGAATGAAATGAAATGAAATGAAATGAAATAAAATGAAATGAAATGAAATGCATGAATGAAATGAAATGAATGAATGAATGAAATGAAATGAATGAATGAATGAATGAAATGAAATGAAATGAAATGAAATGAATGAAATGAAATGAAATGAAATGAAATGAAATGAATGAATGAATGGATGAATGGATGAATGGATGAATGAAATGAATGAATGAATGAATGAATGAAATGAAATGAATGAAATGAACGAATGAACGAATGAACGAATGAATGAAATGAATGAATGAAATGAATGAATGAATGAATGAAATGAATGAATGAATGAATGAATGAATGAATGAATGAAATGAATGAATGAATGAATGAAAAATGAATGAATGAATGAATGGAATGAATGAATGAATGAATGAATGAATGAATGAATGAATGAATGAATGAATGAATGAATGAATGAATGAATGAATGGAATGAATGAATGGAATGAATGAATGGAATGAATGAATGAATGAATGAATGAATGAATGAATGAATGAGTGAATGAATGAATGAATGAATGAAATGAATGAATGAATGAATGAATGAATGAAATGAAATGAATGAAATGAATGAATGAATGAAATGAATGAAATGAATGAATGAATGAATGAATGAATGAATGAATGAATGAATGAATGAAATGAATGAATGAATGAATGACTGAATGAAAGAAATGAATGAATGAATGAATGAAAGAAAGAATGAAATGAATGAATGAATGAATGAATGAATGGAATGAATGAATGAATGAATGAATGAATGAATGAAATGAATGAATGAATGAAATGAATGAATGAATGAATGAATGAATGAAACGAATCAATGAATGAATGCATGAAATGAATGAATGAAATGAATGAACGAATCAATGAATGAATGCATGAAATGAATGAATGAAATGAATGAATGAATGAAATGAATGAATGAATGAATGAATGAAATGAAATGAAATGAAATGAAATGAAATGAAATGAAATGAATGAATGAATGAATGAATGAATGAATGAATGAAATGAATGAATGAATGAATGAATGAATGAAATGAATGAATGAATTGAAATGAAATGAAATGGAATGGATGAATGAATGAATGAATGAATGAATGAAGGAAATGAAATGAAATGAATGAATGAATGAATGAAATGATTGAATGAATGAATGAAATGAATGAATGAATGAATGAATGAATGAAATGAATGAAATGAATGAATGAATGAATGAATGAATGAAATGCATGAAATGAATGAATGAAATGAATGAAATGAATGAATGAATGAATGAAATGAATGAAATGAATGAATGAATGAATGAAATGAATGAAATGAATGAATGAATGAATGAATTGAAATGAATGACTGAATGACTGAATGAATGAAATGAAATGAAATGAAATGAAATGAAATGAAATGAAATGAATGAAATGAATGAAATAATGAATGAATGAAATGAATGAAATGAATGAAATGAATGAAATGAATGAAATGAATGAAATGAATGAATGAATGAATGGAAATGAATGAAATGAATGAAATGAAATGAAATGAAATGAAATGAAATGAAATGAATGAATGAATGAATGAATGAAATAATGAAATGAATGAAATGAATGAAATGAATGAAATGAATGAAATGAATGAAATGAATGAAATGAATGAAATGAATGAAATGAATGAAATGAATGAAATGAAATGAAATGAAATGCATGAATGAAATGAAATGAATGAATGAATGAAATGAATGAAATGAATGAAATGAATGAATGAATGAATGAATGAAATGAAATGAAATGAATGAAATGAATGAAATGAATGAAATGAATGAAATGAATGAAATGAATGAAATGAATGAAATGAATGAAATGAATGAAATGATTGAAATGAATGAAATGAATGAAATGAATGAAATGAATGAAATGAATGAAATGAATGAAATGAATGAAATGAATGAAATGAATGAAATGAATGAAATGAATGAATGAATGAAATGAATGAAATGAATGAAATGAATGAAATGAATGAAATGAATGAAATGAATGAAATGAATGAAATGAATGAAATGAATGAATTGAATGAAATGAATGAAATGAATGAAATGAATGGAAGAATGAAAGAATGAATACATCTATTCGTTTTTTGCCAACGTATCCTTCTTATTTTTTATGGAAAATCCAACCTTTGTTTTATAATATGTCTTTCCGCAAACAGTCACAGACGAATTGTGTTACAAATCATGAAGTTTTGAATGTTTACCTGAAAATGTTTTTTTGTTTATATGTTGCCAAAATACGAGATTTTTCAGTACATGTTGCATAACACTGGCATTTGTTCAATATATTTGGCTATTTGTTTTTTGGTTATGGGTATATTCTGACAGAAATCGATGTTTTTTTTTACTACATTTTGCTTAAATGCATTCCGAATTCCATTTCTGTATAGATTCTGCCGCATTCGGACCAAACAATGCAAGCGGAACCCTTCCGCCTTTTCGCAGGTTTTTCCGTGAGCCCCCGCGGTTGCACCACTGCCACCGCTCGTCAATAGAGTATGACTTTTCATAGATGTGGGGGTTGAGACGATTCTGAATAGGGGGGAAAATATCAATTGCGAAAATTAAACGGAATATTTCACGGGAATTAATAACTATAGAATAAATCACCAAAGTTGGGGCAAAGGCTGGCTTTGCTGGGGTTAGGATCTGGTCAACAGAGAGGTTAGACAACAAATACAATACAAGGGTTTGGCGTGTTCGTGTCCTCCTCCTTCTCCTCCTCACCATCACCATCACCATCACCATCACCAATTATTGTTATTATCATCATCATCATCATCATTTTTCTTACCGTTTCCAGTAGCTTCCACATTGGTCTACATGAAGTAGATGCTGCGTAATCTTCCATTGAAGTCTCTGTCGTATTCGGTAGTGTTTGTCTACCCAATGAATCTCAGGAAGTCCGATTTCAGTCCACTCACTGCTACAAGTCCGCTGATGTCAACTTGAGCAAGTAATTGCAACAACCTACCACGGCCATGCAGCAGCGGTTACCCTTGAGTTGGTTTGGGGAACATCTGTTGAACATCTTGAAATCCATCTGAATGTGACCAAACCCTGTGCACCAGTAAAGAGCACGCCAAAGCGCCACGCTAAGGCTTCATTCCCTTCATGGATTCGTCCGATTTAGCATGTGGTGCCCTGGTTGCATGTTTTGTGCTCGATGCGGGCAATCAAATGCAAGACCATGCTGTTCAGATATGTTCTGATTGGGTGAGGAGGATTGCAGATTGCGGCAGTTTTTTTTGGCCTTGTCGGAAGCAGCAGATTAAGATAAATCAAACGACTGTATGAGGTTTTCATATGTTTGTAATTTTTTAGTACGTATGGTTGTGCCCTTCAATAGTCAAATCTCTTCTGGTCAGGAAAAAATCTTGTGATGGGAGGAGTTTTGCTTTGCATCCTTTCACCGCCTTTCGCTCCAAACTATGCAAGGTCTTGGACAAACTTGTGAGACAGCCGCTGACGGCCGTGCGCTCTGCAAGTGTGCCGCGGGCACCTGCGGCGAAAGCGGAAATTGCGGTGGATTCCAGAATCCTTTTGCACACGCCTCACAGGCCCGAAGCAGTCCGCAAAATAGACATTAGAATACGTTGGAAATCCATGATAACTGGTTTTTATTTTGATATATTTTGATTTTCCCCAGTTTTCGGATGATTTGACCCCAGATTGTGTTCAGCAATTAATTGGCATGCATTTGCTGGTTGCAAACATAGCAGTGATAGCAGTGGTTGCGGTGTTTGCAGTAATTGCAGTGGGATGATGTGGGTACACAAAGCAAGAAGGAGCAAGGAGGCAACGCCACAGTATGCTACAGTTCAGAAACTCCATTGCGACGAAACTGTCCGATAGTTGCTCGATGTTGCTTGGTTGTTTTTTTCGTCTTGAGGCGAACAGCTCGGCGAACGGCACGAAGAGTGCAGGCGCAGGCACCACTAGTACAGCAGCACTGCGGACTGACTGTCGATTGTTCCGAATTTCACGTCAACTCGTTCGAATTTGATGTCATACTCCAAATGCACACTCCCCGACTGAAAAGGACCCCCAAACCAAGATAGAATTGATAGAATGTCAGAAAAAGTGGCATTTTGGGCTTGGCAGATAGATCAGCTTGACGCTTCAATGAATTTGCAGCATGTAGCACTCCCATGCAATCCCATTGAACTTCGTCATCACAAGCTACCAGCATGATGAAGTCGAACGGGAGTCATGTTCCAAGCTTGACGGATGTTTGTGATGTTTGTGGGGCTCGAACTTCCTTCGAGCATTCCCCGTTTTTTGATGAGACAGGATCAATTCCATTCTAATGTTTGTGCCTACTTCCGGGATTGCCAGCTCGCAGGCACTGCCAGCGGTTCATTAGATGCAGCTTTCTGCACCAATCAACGTGCTCAAGCTTGCAAGATCGGAGTCTGAGCTGCAAGAATCTGCCGAAGGCATTGCCATGTTTTCCTCATCGTCACAACTAAGTCATAACTACATCCTGCTTCCTTCTCATCCTCATCCTCCTCATCTTCATCCTCCTCATCTTCATCCTCCTCCTCCTCATCCTAATCCTCACCCTACTCACCCTACTCACCCTACTCACCCTACTCACCCTACTCACCCTACTCATCCTACTCATCCTACTCATCCTACTCCTACTTCTCACCGTCACAGTCACAGTCACCGTCACCGTCATCCTCGTCGTCGTCGTCGTCGTCATCATCATCATCATCACAATAATCATAATCATCATCATCATCATCAACAACAACAACATTACCATCACGGTCTCGTTTAAACTTGCTGTCATCCCCGTATCATCAGTGGCTTCCACAATGGTCTATATGAAGTGGATGCTGTGTACTCTTGCTTTCATTTTCTGGTTGTATTCGGTAACGTCTTTTTTTAGCCAATGAAGTCTCAGGAAATCGGATTCCAGTCCACTCACTGCTACAAGTCCGCTGATGTCAACTTGAGCAAGTAATTGCAACAACCTACCACGGCCATGCAGCAGCGGTTACCCTTGAGTTGGTTTGGGGAACATCTGTTGAACATCTTGAAATCCATCTGAATGTGACCAAACCCTGTGCACCAGTAAAGGGCACGCCAAAGCGCCACGCTAAGGCTTCATTCCCTTCATGGATTCGTCCGATTTAGCATGTGGTGCCCTGGTTGCATGTTTTGTGCTCGATGCGGGCAATCAAATGCAAGACCATGCTGTTCAGACATGTTCTGATTGGGTGAAGAGGATTGCAGATTAATTAATTACGGATGATTGCGGCAGTTTCTTTTGACCTTGTCGAAAACAGAAGATTAATTAAGATAGATTAAGCGGCTGTATGAGGAAAATTATGAGGTTTTCATACCAGTAGTACCGCACAAGGCGGTGGCGGAAGTTTCAAAAATAGGACACCTATAGGAGAGACTGGTTGTTGTGAATCAGGGATGGCAGAGCGAAGCCACTGATGGACTGAAAGGTGGTTGAGGTCTCCTCTCTTTCTCTCTCTTTCTCTGACTATGTACCTACCTACCTATCTATGTATGTATTTACCTATCGATCTATCTCTCTCTCTCTCTTTCATCTAATTACCTATCTATCTATCTGTCTGTCTATCTATCTATCTACCTGTCTACCTGTCTATCTGTGGTGCAGTGTCATTCAGTGTAATGTAGTGTAGTGTAATGTAGTGTGGTGTAGTGGAGTGTAGCGGAATGTAGTGTAGTGTAGTGTAATGTAGTGTAGTGTAATTTTTCGTGTAGTGTAATGTAGTGTAGTGGAGTGTAGTTGTGTAGTTGTAGTTGTAGTTGTAGTTGTAGCTGTAGTGTAGCGGAGTGTAGTGTAGGGTAATGTAGTGAAGTGTAGTTGAAGGTAGCGTAGTCTAGTGTAGTGGAGTGTAGTGTAAAGTAGTGTAGTGTAGTGTAATTTAGTGTAGTGGAGTGTAGTGGAGTGTAGTTGTGTAGTTGTAGTTGTGTAGTTGTAGTGGAGTGTAGTGTAATGTATTGTAGTGAAGTCTAGTGGAAGGTAGTGTGGTGTAGTGTAGTGTAATGTAGTGTACTGTAGTGGAGTGGAGCGTAGTGTAATGTAGTGTTGTGTTGTGTAATTTAGTGTAGTGGAGTGTAGTGTAGTGTAGTGGAGTGTAGTTGTGTAGTTGTAGTTGTAGTGTTGTGGAGTGTAGTGTAGTGCAATGTAGTGGAGTGTAGTGTAGTGTAGTGTAGTGTAGTCTAGTGAAGCGAAGCGAAGTGACATCTTAACCTCCAAAAGTCGTCCGAACCCCAGTGTTTTTGACATTTTGACTTCAAAATGTGCTTCGCGCCACAACGGCGTGCACTTTTTCGACATCTGAATCTCCAAAAGTGGTCCGAACCCCTAGTGTTTTTAACATTTTGACTTCGAAATGTGCTTCGCGCCACAACGGCGTGCATTTTTTCGACATCTCAACTTCCAAAAGTGGTCCGAGAATGGTGTGTTTTGTACATTTTGACTTCAAAATGTGCTTTGCGCCACAACGGCGTGCACTTTTTCAACATCTCAACTTCCAAAAGTGGTCCGGAGCTGGGGTGCTTTGTACATTTTGACTTTGAAATGTGCTTCGCGCCACAACGGCGTGCACTTTTTCGACATCGCAACTTCCAAAAGTGGTCCGAGCCCCTGGTGTTTTTAACATTTTGACTTCGAAATGTGCTTCGCGCCACAACGGCGTGCACTTTTTCGACATCGCAACTTCCAAAAATGGTCCGGCGCTGAGGTGTTTTGTACATTTTGACTTGGAAATGTGCTTCGCGCCACAACGGCGTGCAACTTTTCATCTCTCATCTCCCCAGATGGCTCCGCACCCGCCGCTTTAGCGAGCCTACTTTTCGACCTTCCGGAGCCCCAAATCATTGGAAAAACACAGTGTTTCGCGACTTTCCTACCTTTTCGCGCATCTGCATCTGCTTTCTTCTGACTCTTTCTCTTCTACTCTTCTTTCTTCTGATCTTTCTCTTCTCTCTGCCTCTTCCCTGCTCTGCTTTTCATCTGTCCATATTGTCGGAAGTTTGACTTCTAAACTTCCTTCGAATATGTTCTCAATTGTTTTCATATTTCTTGTATTTTTCGTCTCCATTGTTGTGCCCTTCAATAGTCAAATCTGTTCTCGTCAGGAGAAAGTCTTTTTGATGGGAGGAGTTTCGCCGCCTTTCGCTCCAAACTATGCAAGGTCTTGGACAAACTTGTGAGACAGCCGCTGACGGTCGTGCGCTCTGCAAGTGTGCCGCGGGCACCTGCGGCGAAAGCGGAGATTGCGGTGGATTCCAGAATCCTTTTGCACAGGCTTCACAGGCCCGAAGCAGTCCGCAAAATAGACATTAGAATACATTCAAAATCCATGATAACTGGCTTTATTTTGATATTTTTTGATCTTCCCCAGTTTTCGGATGATTTGACCCCCAGATTGTGTTCAGCAATTAATTGGCATGAATTTGCTGGTTGCAAACATAGCAGTGATAGCAGTGGTTGCGGTGTTTGCAGTAATTGCAGTGGGATGATGTGGGTACACAAAGCAAGAAGGAGCAAGGAGGCAACGCCACAGTATGCTACAGTTCAGAAACTCCATTGCGACGAAACTGTCCGATAGTTGCTCGATGTTGCTTGGTTGTTTTTTTCGTCTTGAGGCGAACAGCTCGGCGAACGGCACGAAGAGTGCAGGCGCAGGCACCACCAGTACAGCAGCACTGCGGACTGACTGTCGATTGTTCCGAATTTCACGTCAACTCGTTCGAATTTGATGTCATACTCCAAATGCACACTCCCCGACTGAAAAGGACCCCCAAACCAAGATAGAATTGATAGAATGTCAGAAAAAGTGGCATTTTGGGCTTGGCAGATAGATCAGCTTGACGCTTCAATGAATTTGCAGCATGTAGCACTCCCATGCAATCCCATTGAACTTCGTCATCACAAGCTACCAGCATGATGAAGTCGAACGGGAGTCATGTTCCAAGCTTGACGGATGTTTGTGATGTTTGTGGGGCTCGAACTTCCTTCGAGCATTCCCCGTTTTTTGGTGACGGGATCAATTCCATTCTAATGTTTGTGCCTACTTCCGGGATTGCCAGCTCACAGGCACTGCCATCGGTTCATTAGATGCAGCTTTCTGCACCAATCAACGTGCTCAAGCTTGCAAGATCGGAGCCTGAGCTGCAAGAATCTGCCGAAGGCATTGCCATGTTATCCTCATCGTCACAACTAAGTCATAACTACATCCTGCTTCCTTCTCATCATCATCCTCCTCATCTTCATCCTCCTCATCCTCGTCCCTTCTCATCCTCATCCTCCGCATCTTCATCCTCCTCATCTTCATCCTCCTCATCCTCATCCTCCTCATCTTCATCCTCCTTCTCCTTCTCATCCTAATCCTCACCCTACTCATCCTACTCATCCTACTCATCCTACTCATCCTACTCATCCTACTCATCCTACTCATCCTACTCATCCTACTCCTCCTACTCCTCCTACTCCTCCTACTCCTCCTACTCCTCCTACTCCTCCTACTCCTCACCCTCACAGTCACAGTCACCATCACCGTCACGGTCATCCTCATCCTCCTCATCATCATCATCACCATCATCATCATCACCATCAGCAGCAGCAGCATCACCATCATCACCATCACCATCAGCAGCACCACCACCATCACTATCACCATCACCATCACCATCGTCATCATCATCATCACCATCATCATCATCATCATCATCCAACATCCATCATCCATCATCCATCATCCTTCATCCTTCATCCATCATCCACCATTCATCATCCATCATCCATCATCCATCATCCATCATCCATCGTCATCATCATCATCATAATATTCTTCATCTTCTTCTTCTTCTTCTTCTTGTTCTTCTTCTTCTTGTTCTTGTTCTTGTTCTTTTTCTTCTTCTTTTTCTTCTTCTTCTGCTTCTTCTTCTTCTTCTTCTTCTTCTTCCTCTTCCTTTTTCCTTCTTCTTTTTGAAGCTTGCTGTTGTGCTGGTATCATCAGTGGCTTCCACATTGGTCTACATGAAGTGGATGCTGTGCGCTCTTGCTTTCATGTCTTAGGTTGTATTCGGTAACGTCTTTTTTTAGCCAATGAAGTCTCAGGAAATCGGATTCCAGTCCACTCACTGCTACAAGTCCGCTGATGTCAACTTGAGCAAGTAATCGCAACAACCCACCACGGCCATGCAGCAGCGGTTGCCCTTGAGTTGGTTTGGGGAACATCTTGAAATCCATCTGAATGTGACCAAATCCTGTGCACGCTAAGGCTTCATTCCCTTCATGGATTCGTCCGATTTAGCATGTGGTGCCCTGGTTGCACGTTTTGTGCTCGATGCGGGCAATCAAATGCAAGACCATGCTGCTCAGACATGTTCTGATTGGGTGAGGGGGATTGCAGATTGCGGCAGTTTCTTTTGGCCCTGTCGGAAACAGCAGATTAAGATAAATCAAACGACTGTATGAGGTTTTCATCGAAAGAAGTTTAGAAGTCAAACTTCCGACAATATGGACAGATGAAAAGCAGAGATGGGAAGAGTCACAGAAGAGAAGAGAAGAAGAAAGAAGATCCAAAAAGAGAAAGTCTCAGAAGAAAGAAGATCCAGGTGTGCGAAAAGGTAGGAAAGTCGCGAAACACATGTTTTTTTTCAATGATTTGTGGCTCTGGAGGGTCGAAAAGTAGGCTCGCTAAAGCGGCGGGTGCGGAGCCAGCTGGCCAGATGAGAGATGAAAAATTGCACGCGCCGTTGTGGCGCGAAGCACATTTCGAAGTCAAAATGTACAAAGCACACCATTCTCGGACCACTTTTGGAAGTTGAGATGTCGAAAAAGTGCACGCCGTTGTGGCGCGAAGCACATTTCGAAGTCAAAATGCACAAAACACACCAGGTTCGGAGCACTTTTGGACGTTCAGATGCCGTTTTGCGTGGCAGGCGCAAGGGAGCGTGCACCTTGTCAAAAGTGAGCAAAATGTGAGGGTCTTGTAGCATTTCCTAAAACGATGGCAGGCGTGGGACAGTCACAGAGGATCTGCAAAGATGCATTTCGCGTGGCAGGCACAGTACAAGAGACATGTTCGTCAGAGATGTTGGGAGGGGCGTTGATTTTCTGAGACAGGTTGCGTTTTGGAGCATCAGATCTTCAGTTTTGGGACGATGATTTTGCGTGACAGGTGCAGCACTTCGTATGACCTGGCCTCACTTTGTCGTGGCAGGCGCAATACTTTAGACAGGTAGATTGGAAAAATCGCAAAACGCATTGGTACGAGGCCGTCAGCTCTGCACTCAACTTTCCATTTTTGAAGGAAGTCTCGCAGAATTGCTTCGTTTTTGACGTTGTCAAGTTCAAAAATTAAGGAAGTCTCGCAGAATTGTTTCGTTTTTGATGCTGTCAAGTTCAAAAACTGAGGAAGTCTCGCAGAATAGCTTCGTTTTCAAGCTTGCAGCTAGACAGATGATAGATAGACAACTACAACTGCAACTAACAAGTACCACTACACTACACTACTACTACTACAACTATAAGTGCAAATATACCAGTAGTACCGCACAAGGCGGTGGCGGAAGTTTCAAAAATAGGAAACCTGTAGGAGAATGTATGTAGTGTACGTAATGTCTGTCTGTCTGTCTGCCTGCCTGCCTGCCTGCCTGGCCACTGATGGACCGACAGGTGGTTGAGGTCTCCTCTCTTTCTCTCTTTCTTTCTCTCTTTGTTTCTCTCTGTGTTTCTCTCTTTGTTTCTCTCTTTGTTTCTCTCTTTGTTTCTCTCTTTGTTTCTCTCTTTCTCTGACTATCTATCTACCTATCTACCTATCTACCTATCTACCTATCTATCTACCTGCCTATCTGTCTATCTACCTACCTACCTATCTATCTAATCTATCTATCTATCTATCTACCTATCTATCTATCTATCTATCTATCTATCTAATCTAATCTAATCTAATCTAAGCTAAGCTAAGCTAAGCTAATCTAATCTAATCTAATCTATCTATCTATCTATATATATATATAGCTGTCTCTCTATTTATCTGTCTATCTGTCTACCTATCTATCTATCTATCTAGCTATCTATCTACCTACGGTGGTCTCATCTGTCTATCTAACTTTGTCTCTACCTACCTATCGACCTATCTATCTATCTATCTGTCTATCTATCTATCTATCTATCTATGTATCTATCGATCTATCGATCTATCGATCTATCGATCTATCGATCTATCGATCTATCGATCTATCTATCTGTCTATCTATCTATCTATCTAACTATCTAACTATCTTCCTATCTATCTATCTATCTATCTATCTATCTATCTATCTATGTATCTATCGATCTATCGATCTATCGATCTATCGATCTATCGATCTATCGATCTATCTCTCTCTCTCTCTCTGTCTGTCTGTCTATCTACCTGTCTATCTGCAAGCTTGAAAACCAAGCTATTCTGCGAGACTTATTCATTATTCAAAGTTGACAACATCAAAAACGAAGCAATTCTCCGAGACCTCCTCAATGTTTGAACTTGACAAGGTCAAAAATGAAGCAATTCTGCGAGACTTCTTCAATGTTTGAACTTGACAACGTCAAAAACGAAGCAATTCTGCGAGACTTCCTCAATATTTCAACTTGACAACGTCAAAGACGAATCAATTCTGCGAGACTTCTTCAATGTTTGAACTTGACAACATCAAAAACAAAGCAATTTTGCGAGACTTCCTTCAAAAATGGAAAGTTAAGTGCAGCGCTGACAGCCTCGTACCAATGCGTTTTGCGATTTTTCCACTCCACCTGTCTAAAGTATTGCGCCTCCCACGAAAAAGTGAGGCCAGGTCATACGAAGTGCTGCACCTGTCACGCAAAATCATCTTAGCAAACCTACAGATCTGATGCTCCAAAATGCAACCTGTCTCTGGAAATCAGCGCCCTGACCTCCTAACATCTCTCATGAACATGTCTTTTGTACTGCGCCTGCCACAGAAAATGCATCTTTGCAGATCCTCTTCAAACGTCCCACGCCTGCCATCGTTTTAGGAAATGCGACAAAACCCTCACATTTTGCTCACTTTTGACAAGGTGCACGCTCCCTTGCGCCTGCCACGCAAAACGGCATCTGAACGTCCAAAAGTGCTCCGAACCTGGTGTGTTTTGTGCATTTTGACTTCGAAATGTGCTTCGCGCCACAACGGCGTGCACTTTTTCGACATCTCAACTTCCAAAAGTGGTCCGAGAATGGTGTGTTTTGTACATTTTGACTTCGAAATGTGCTTCGCACCACAACGGCGTGCACTTTTTCGACATCTCAACTTCCAAAAGTGGTCCGATGCTGAGGTGTTTTGTACATTTTGACTTCGAAATGTGCTTCGCGCCACAACGGCGTGCAATTTTTCATCTCTCATCTGGCCAGCTGGCTCCGCACCCGCCGCTTTAGCGAGCCTACTTTTTGACCCTCCGGAGCCACAAATCATTGGAAAAACACAGTGTTTCGCGACTTTCCTACCTTTTCGCGCACCTGCATCTTCTTTCTTCTGACTCTTTCTCTTCTCTGATCTTCTCTCTTCTACTCTTCTCTTCTCTCTGACTCTTCCCATCTCTGCTTTTCATCTGTCCATATTGTCGGAAGTTTGACTTCTAAACTTCCTTGGACTACGCTACATTACACGACACTAATTACACCTACACTACACTAATTACATCTAATTACACTACACTACACTACACTACACTATACTACACTACACTACACTAACTACACTAGAACTACTACAGCAGCAACAACAACAACAACTACTACTACTACTACTACCACCACCACCACCACCGCCACAGCTACAACTACAATTACAGCTACACTACATTTCACTACAATACACTAATTAAACTGCAGCACATTACAGCTACAAATACGCATGCAACTAGAACTATACACTAAATTACACAACATTACATTACAATAATTATATTACTTTACATTACAACTGCAACTACCACTACATTGCACCACGCGACCCTACACTACAACTACAACTACACTACTTTACACTACAATACCCTAGGCTACACTCACTATACCACGCTACAGTACACAACACTACAGTACACTACAATACGCTACACAATGAGACCACACCACAACTACAACTGCAACTACGCTACACTAATTACACTACATTACAACTACAACTTACAACCGCAACTCCACTACACTAGAACTACAACTACTCCTACAACTACAACTACAACTGCGCTACACCACACTACATCCAGCAGTTGTGGAGAGGCGACCACTGCAACCATTGCAACCACTCCAGAAAACACAACTCCAACCACCTTTCGGTCCATCAGTGGATTCGCTCTGCCATCCCTGATTCACAACAACCAACCTCTCTTATAGGTTTCCCATTTTTGAAATTTCTGCCCCCGCCTTGTGCGGTACTACTGGTATGTTTGCAGTTTTTTAGTACGCATTGTTGTGCCCTTCAATAGTCAAATCTCTTCTGGTCAGGAAAAAGTCTTGTGATGGGAGGAGTTTTGCTTTGCATCCTTTCGCTGCCTTTCGCTCCAAACTATGCAAGGTCTTGGACAAACTTGTGAGACAGCCGCTGACGGCCGTGCGCTCTGCAAGTGTGTTGCTGGCACCTGCGGCGAAAGCGGAGGATTCCAGAATCCTTTTGCACAGGCCTCACAGGCCCGAAGCAGTCCGCAAAATAGACATTAGAATACGTTGGAAATCCATGATAACTGGTTTTATTTTGATATATTTTGATTTTCCTCAGTTTTCGGATGATTTGACCCCAGATTGTGTTCAGCAATTAATTGGCATGCATTTGCTGGTTGCAAACATAGCAGTGATAGCAGCGGTTGCGGTGGTTGCGGTGATTGCAGTGGGATGACGTGGGTACACAAAGCACGGAGGATCAAGGAGGCAACGCCACAGTTCAGACTCCATTGCGACGAAACTGTCAGATAGTTGCTCGATGTTGCTCGGTTTTTTCCGTCTTGAGGCGAACAGCTCGGCGAACGGCACGAAGAGTGCAGGCGCAGACACCACTAGTACAGCACCACTGCGGACTGACTGCCGATTGTTTCGAATTTCACGTCAACTGGTTCGAATTTGATGTCATACTCCAAATGCACACTCCCCGACTGAAAAGGATCCCCAAACCAAGATAGAATTGATAGAATGTCAGAAAAAGTGGCATTTTGGGCTTGGCAGATAGATCAGTTAGACGCTTCAATGAGTTTGCAGCATGTAGCACTCCCATGCAATCCCATTGAACTTCGTCATCACAAGCTACCAGCATGATGAAGTCGAATGGAAGTCATGTTCCAAGCTTGAGACGGATGTTTGTGATGTTTGTGGGGCTTGATCTTCCTTCGAGCATTCCCCGTTTTTTGATGCGACGGGAGCAATTCCATTCTAATTATGTTTGTGCCTACTTCCGGGATTGCCAGCTCGCAGGCACTGCCAGCGGTTCATTAGATGCAGCTTTCTGCACCAATCAACGTGCTCAAGCTTGCAAGATCGGAGCCTGAGCTGCAAGAATCTGCCGAAGGCATTGCCATGTTGTCCTCATCGTCACAACTAAGTCATAACTACATCCTGCTTCCTCCTCATCTTCATCCTCCTCATCTTCATCCTCCTCATCCTCGTCCCTTCTCATCTCCATCCTCCTCATCTTCATCCTCCTCATCTTCATCCTCCTCATCCTCGTCCCTTCTCATTCTCATCCTCCTCATCTTCATCCTCCTGATCCTCCTCATCTTCATCCTCCTCATCTTCATCCTCCTCATCCTCCTCATCCTCCTCATCTTCATCCTCCTCATATTCATCCTCCTCATCTTCATCCTCCTCATCTTCATCCTCCTGATCCTCCTCATCCTCCTCATCCTCGTCCCTTCTCATCCTCATCCTCCTCATCCTCATCCTCCTCATCTTCATCCTCCTCATCCTCCTCATCTTCATCCTCCTCATCTTCATCCTCCTCATCCTCGTCCCTTCTCATCTCCATCCTCCTCATCTTCATCCTCCTCATCTTCATCCTCCTCATCCTCGTCCCTTCTCATTCTCATCCTCCTCATCTTCATCCTCCTGATCCTCCTCATCCTCCTCATCTTCATCCTCCTCATCCTCCTCATCCTCCTCATCTTCATCCTCCTCATCCTCATCCTCCTCATCTTCATCCTCCTGATCCTCCTCATCCTCCGCATCCTCATCCTCCTCAGCTTCATCCTCCTCATCCTCATCCTCCTCATCCTCATCCTCCTCATCTTCATCCTCCTGATCCTCCTTATCCTCCTCATCTTCATCCTCCTCATCCTCATCCTCCTCATCTTCATCCTCCTGATCCTCCTCATCCTCCTCATCTTCATCCTCCTCATCCTCCTCATCCTCCTCATCTTCATCCTCCTCATCCTCATCCTCCTCATCTTCATCCTCCTCATCCTCCTCATCCTCCTCATCTTCATCCTCCTCATCCTCATCCTCCTCATCTTCATCCTCCTGATCCTCCTCATCCTCCTCATCTTCATTCTCCTGATCCTCCTCATCCTCCTCATCCTCATCCTCCTCATCTTCATCCTCCTCATCCTCACCCTCCTCATCTTCATCCTCCTAATCCTCCTCATCCTCCTCATCTTCATCTTCCTCATCCTCATCCTCCTCATCTTCATCCTCCTGATCCTCCTCATCCTCCTCATCTTCATCCTCCTCATCCTCATCCTCCTCATCTTCATCCTCCTGATCCTCCTCACCGTCACTGTCACTGTCACCGTGACGGTCATCCTCAAGAGTCCTCCTCCTCCTCATCATCATCATCATCATTACAGTATCATCATCATTTGGTTGTTTCTTCTTTTTTTTCTTCTTATTGTTCTTCTTATTTTTCTTCTTAGTTTTCTTTTTTTCTTTTTTTCTTCTTCTTTTTCTTCTTCTTCATTTTTTTCTTTTTCCTTTTTTCTTCTTCTTTTTGAAGCTTGCTGTTGTGCTCGCATCGTCAGTGGCTTCCACATTGGTCTATATGAAGTGGATGCTGTGTACTCTTGCTTTCATTTTCTGGTTGTATTTGGTAACGTCTTTTTTTAGCCAATGAAGTCTCAGGAAATCGGATTCCAGTCCACTCACTGCTACAAGTCCGCTGATGTCAACTTGAGCAAGTAATCGCAACAACCTACCACGGCCATGCAGCAGCGGTTACCCTTCAGTTGGTTTGGGGAACATCTTGAAATCCCATCTGAATGTGACCAAATGTGCCTGTGCACGCTAAGGCTTCATTCCCTTCATGGATTCGTCCGATTTAGCATGTGGTGCCCTGGTTGCATGTTTTGTGCTCGATGCGGGCAATCAAATGCAAGACCATGCTGTTCAGATATGTTCTGATTGGGTGAGGAGGATTGCAGATTGCGGCAGTTTTTTTTGGCCTTGTCGGAAGCAGCAGATTAAGATAAATCAAACGACTGTATGAGGTTTTCATATGTTTGTAATTTTTTAGTACGTATGGTTGTGCCCTTCAATAGTCAAATCTCTTCTGGTCAGGAAAAAATCTTGTGATGGGAGGAGTTTTGCTTTGCATCCTTTCACCGCCTTTCGCTCCAAACTATGCAAGGTCTTGGACAAACTTGTGAGACAGCCGCTGACGGCCGTGCGCTCTGCAAGTGTGCCGCGGGCACCTGCGGCGAAAGCGGAAATTGCGGTGGATTCCAGAATCCTTTTGCACACGCCTCACAGGCCCGAAGCAGTCCGCAAAATAGACATTAGAATACGTTGGAAATCCATGATAACTGGTTTTTATTTTGATATATTTTGATTTTCCCCAGTTTTCGGATGATTTGACCCCAGATTGTGTTCAGCAATTAATTGGCATGCATTTGCTGGTTGCAAACATAGCAGTGATAGCGGTGGTTGCGGTGGTTGCGGTGTTTGCAGTGGGATGATGTGGGTACACAAAGCAAGAAGGAGCAAGGAGGCAACGCCACAGTTCAGAAACTCCATTGCGACAAAACTGTCCGATAGTTGCTCGATGTTGCTTGGTTTTTTTTTTCGTCTTGAGGCGAACAGCTCGGCGAATGGCACGAAGAGTGCAGGCGCAGACACCACTAGTACAGCAGCACTGCGGACTGACTGTCGATTGTTCCGAATTTCACGTCAACTCGTTCGAATTTGATGTCATACTCCAAATGCACACTCCCCGACTGAAAAGGACCCCCAAACCAAGATAGAATTGATAGAATGTCAGAAAAAGTGGCATTTTGGGCTTGGCAGATAGATCAGTTAGACGCTTCAATGAGTTTGCAGCATGTAGCACTCCCATGCAATCCCATTGAACTTCGTCATCACAAGCTACCAGCATGATGAAGTCGAATGGAAGTCATGTTCCAAGCTTGACGGATGTTTGTGATGTTTGTGGGGCTCGAACTTCCTTCGAGCATTCCCCGTTTTTTGATGAGACGGGATCAATTCCATTCTTATGTTTGTGCCTACTTCCGGGATTGCCAGCTCGGGTGGGCAGGCACTGCCAGCGGTTCATTAGATGCAGCTTTCTGCACCAATCAACGTGCTCAAGCTTGCAAGATCGGAGTCTGAGCTGCAAGAATCTTTCAAAGTTATTTCGAGGCGTTTAAGCATTGAATCAAATCATTGCCTTGCTATCCTCAGCGTCACAACTGAGTCACAACAAAATCCTCCACCCTATCATCATCATCATCATCATCATCAGCATCATCATCATCATCATCATCATCATCGTCATCATCATCATCATCATCATCATTCATCATCATCATTATCATCATCATCATCATCACCATCATCATCACCACCATAGTCGTCGTCGTCAACATTACCATCACGGCCTCGTTTAAAGTTGCTGTTGTGCTCGTATCGTCAGTGGCTTCCACATTGGTCTACATGAAGTGGATGCTGTGTATTCTTGCTTTCATTTTCTGGTTGTATTCGGTAACGTCTTTTTTAGGCCAAAGCGCCACGCTAAGGCTTCATTCCCTTCATGGATTCGTCCGATTTAGCATGTAGTGCCCTGGTTGCATGTTCTGTGCTCGATGCGGGCAATCAAATGCAAGACCATGCTGTTCAGACATGTTCTGATTGGGTGAGGAGGATTGCAGATTGCGGCAGTTTTTTTTGGCCTTGTCGGAAGCAGCAGATTAAGATAAATCAAGCGTCTGTATGAGGTTTTCATATGTTTGTAATTTTTTAGTACGTATGGTTGTGCCCTTCAATAGTCAAATCTCTTCTGGTCAGGAAAAAATCTTGTGATGGGAGGAGTTTTGCTTTGCATCCTTTCACCGCCTTTCGCTCCAAACTATGCAAGGTCTTGGACAAACTTGTGAGACAGCCGCTGACGGCCGTGCGCTCTGCAAGTGTGCCGCGGGCACCTGCGGCGAAAGCGGAAATTGCGGTGGATTCCAGAATCCTTTTGCACAGGCCTCACAGGCCCGAAGCAGTCCGCAAAATAGACATTAGAATACGTTGGAAATCCATGATAACTGGCTTTATTTTATTTTATTTTGATATATTTTGATTTTCCCCAGTTTTCGGATGATTTGACCCCAGATTGTGTTCAGCAATTAATTGGCATGCATTTGCTGGTTGCAAACATAGCAGTGATAGCAGTGGTTGCGGTGGTTGCGGTGTTTGCAGTGGGATGATGTGGGTACACAAAGCAAGAAGGAGCAAGGAGGCAATGCCACAGTTCAGAAACTCCATTGCGACGAAACTGTCCGATCGTTGCTCGATGTTGCTTGGTTTTTTTTTCGTCTTGAGGCGAACAGCTCGGCGAACGGCACGAAGAGTGCAGGCGCAGACACCACTAGTACAGCAACATTGCGGACTGACTGTCGATTGTTCTGAATTTCACGTCAACTCGTTCGAATTTGATGTCACACTCCAAATGCACACTCCCCGACTGAAAAGGACCCCCAAACCAAGATAGAATTGATAGAATGTCAGAAAAAGTGGCATTTTGGGCTTGGCAGATAGATCAGCTTGACGCTTCAATGAATTTGCAGCATGTAGCACTCCCATGCAATCCCATTGAACTTCGTCATCACAAGCTACCAGCATGATGAAGTCGAACGGGAGTCATGTTCCAAGCTTGACGGATGTTTGTGATGTTTGTGGGGCTCGAACTTCCTTCGAGCATTCCCCGTTTTTTGATGAGACAGGATCAATTCCATTCTAATGTTTGTGCCTACTTCCGGGATTGCCAGCTCGCAGGCACTGCCAGCGGTTCATTAGATGCAGCTTTCTGCACCAATCAACGTGCTCAAGCTTGCAAGATCGGAGTCTGAGCTGCAAGAATCTGCCGAAGGCATTGCCATGTTGTCCTCATCGTCACAACTAAGTCATAACTACATCCTGCTTCCTTCTCATCCTCATCCTCCTCATCTTCATCCTCCTCATCTTCATCCTCCTCATCTTCATCCTCCTCATCTTCATCCTCCTGATCCTCCTCCTCACCCTCACCGTCACTGTCACTGTCACCGTGACGGTCGTCCTCATCCTCATCATCATCATCATCATCAACATCATGATCATCATCATCATCATCATCATCATCATCATCACCATCACCAGCATCACCATCACCATCACCACCATCATCATCATCATCATCAGCATCATCATCATCATCATCAAAATCATCATCGTCGTCACCATCACCATCATCACCATCATCATCATCATCGTCGTCGTCGTCGTCGTCATCATCATCATCATCATTTGTTTTATTCTTCTTATTCTTATTCTTATTATTATTCCTTTTTTTCTTCTTTTTGAAGCTTGCTGTTGTGCTCGCATCGTCAGTGGCTTCCACATTGGTCTATATGAAGTGGATGCTGTGTACTCTTGCTTTCATTTTCTGGTTGTATTTGGTAACGTCTTTTTTTAGCCAATGAAGTCTCAGGAAATCGGATTCCAGTCCACTCACTGCTACAAGTCCGCTGATGTCAACTTGAGCAAGTAATCGCAACAACCTACCACGGCCATGCAGCAGCGGTTGCCCTTCAGTTGGTTTGGGGAACATCTTGAAATCCATCTGAATGTGACCAAATCCTGTGCACCAGTAAAGAGCACGCCAAAGCGCCACGCTAAGGCTTCATTCCCTTCATGGATTCGTCCGACTTAGCATGTGGTGCCCTGGTTGCATGTTCTGTGCTCGATGCGGGCAATCAAATGCAAGACCATGCTGTTCAGACATGTTCTGATTGGGTGAGGAGGATTGCAGATTGCGGCAGTTTTTTTTTTGGCCTTGTCGGAAGCAGCAGATTAAGATAAATCAAGCGTCTGTATGAGGCTTTCATATGTTTGTATTTTTTTAGTACGTATGGTTGTGCCCTTCAATAGTCAAATCTCTTCTGGTCAGGAAAAAATCTTGTGATGGGAGGAGTTTTGCTTTGCATCCTTTCACCGCCTTTCGCTCCAAACTATGCAAGGTCTTGGACAAACTTGTGAGACAGCCGCTGACGGCCGTGCGCTCTGCAAGTGTGCCGCGGGCACCTGCGGCGAAAGCGGAAATTGCGGTGGATTCCAGAATCCTTTTGCACAGGCCTCACAGGCCCGAAGCAGTCCGCAAAATAGACATTAGAATACGTTGGAAATCCATGATAACTGGCTTTATTTTATTTTATTTTGATATATTTTGATTTTCCCCAGTTTTCGGATGATTTGACCCCAGATTGTGTTCAGCAATTAATTGGCATGCATTTGCTGGTTGCAAACATAGCAGTGATAGCGGTGGTTGCGGTGTTTGCAGTGATTGCAGTGGGATGATGTGGGTACACAAAGCAAGAAGGAGCAAGGAGGCAACGCCACAGTTCAGAAACTCCATTGCGACGAAACTGTCCGATAGTTGCTCGATGTTGCCTGGTGTTTTTTTCGTCTTGAGGCGAACAGCTCGGCGAACGGCACGAAGAGTGCAGGCGCAGACACCACTAGTACAGCAGCACTGCGGATTTCACGTCAACTCGTTCGAATTTGATGTCATACTCCAAATGCACACTCCCCGACTGAAAAGGACCCCCAAACCAAGATAGAATTGATAGAATGTCAGAAAAAGTGGCATTTTGGGCTTGGCAGATAGATCAGTTAGACGCTTCAATGAGTTTGCAACATGTAGCACTCCCATGCAATCCCATTGAACTTCGTCATCACAAGCTACCAGCATGATGAAGTCGAATGGAAGTCATGTTCCAAGCTTGAGACGGATGTTTGTGATGTTTGTGGGACTTGATCTTCCTTCAAGCATTCCCCGTTTTTTGATGAGACGGGATCAATTCCATTCTTATGTTTGTGCCTACTTCCGGGATTGCCAGCTCGGGTGGGCAGGCACTGCCAGCGGTTCATTAGATGCAGCTTTCTGCACCAATCAACATGCTCAAGCTTGCAAGATCGGAGTCTGAGCTGCAGCGAGTGTCCGCAGTGCAGTGGCCATAAGCATCCATAAGCGAACACATCCATAAGCGATCTGTTTCAGTACGCATTTCAGAGAACATTTCGCAGCCTTCTAAACCACAGCCACGGTCACGTGAGTGATTGTGAGTGTGAAATAGTGTGAAGAGAAAATTATGATGGGCTCCGGTAGTCAAGAGCACCAGAGTGACGCATAGTGACGCATCCATGTTGTGACCAATCATTTGCTCCAGTAAAGAGCGTGCCAGAGCGCCACGCTAAGGCTTCATTCCCTTCATGGATTCGTCTGATTTAGCATGTGGTGCCCTGGTTGCACAGTCTGCATTACCTGCAAACAATCAAAAGGATGCCAACCCGAGATAATGCCTGTGACAATAGCCGATTTTATGGCTCTGGGCGAATGTGCAAACAATGAGAGAAGGACGTTTCCCGTGGAATCACCCCAGCTTTGTTTCAGCTTTTGTTGCATGATACGGTTCTATCCGCCCTAGTAGCATGTTTCACTATCAAACAGTTTCTACTCGTAGGTGGCCGATTGATTAGGTAGCTGGTAGATCTAGGATTCCCGGATGGGAGAGATGCTTGGGTTGGAGCTTCCATATTGCATCTTTTGGATTCGTTTGTTAACAAACTAACTAGGTTAAATTTGATTTCATTTGCCATTTTGATTACGCGTAAATCGACCCCCCCCGGTCTGGAAGCATCTGGAAGATCTGGAAGCATCCAAGGTCTTGGACAAACTTGTGAGACAGCCACTGACGGACGTGCGCTCTGCAAGTGTGCCGCGGGCACCTGCAGCGAAAGCGGAGATTGCGGTGGATTCCAGAATCCTTTTGCGCAGGCCTTGGGGAGACAGGGCATTTGTCTTCGTTTCAACCTCCTTGCAGGGCAGATACAGACATCAATCCTCTTTTCAAAACCATTTAAGATTCATTTAAGTATATTTAAGTGTTTTGGAGCAGTTGCAGCCCCCTCAAGAACCTGGATGAACTCTTGAGTGTTTTGATGTGTTGTATCATGTTTTATCATGTTTTTACCAGCAGTACCGCACAAGGCGGTGGCGGAAGTTTCAAAAATAGGAAACCTATAGGAGAGGTTGGTTGTTGTGAATCAGGGATGGCAGAGCGAAGCCACTGATGGATTGAAAGGTGCTTGATCTCTCTCACTCTTTCTCTCTCTTTCTCTGACTATCTACCTACCTGCCTATCTATTTTCTATGTATCTATCTATCTATCGATCTATCTACCTATCGATCTATCTATCTATCTCTCTCTCTCTCTCTTTCTTTCATCTAATTACCTATCTATCTATCTATGCATCTATCTATCTATCTACCTATCTATCTATCTATTTATCTATCTCTCTCTCTCTCTTTCTTTCATCTGTCTATCTGTCTATCTGTCTGTCTGTCTATCTATCCATCTATCTATCTGTCTATCTGCCTATCTATCCATCTATCTATCTATCTGTCTATCTGTCTACCTGTCTATCTATCTATCTATCTGTCTGTCTGTCTGTCTATCTGTCTAGCCATTTATCTATCTATCTCATCTACCCAGCTGGCCTCTGTCTCTCTCTCTTTCATCTAATTACCTATCTATCTATCTATCTACCTACCTGTCTATCTATCTCTCCCTTTCATCTGCCTATCTGTCTAGCTGTCTACCTGTCTATCTGTGTTGCAGTGTCATTCAGTGTAATGTAGTGTGGTGTAGTGTAATTTAGTGTAATGGAGTGTACTGGAGTGTAATGTAGTGTAATGTAGTGTACTGGAGTGTAGTGTAGTGTAATGTTCTGTAGTGTAGTGTCTTGAAGCGAAGCGACATCTGAACCTCCAAAAGTGGTCCGAACCCCTAGTGTTTTGTACATTTTGACACCACAACGGCGTGCACTTTTTCGACATCTCAACCTCCAAAAGTGGTCCGAACCCCTGGTGCTTTTAACATTTTGACTTCGAAATGTGCTTCGCGCCACAAAGGCGTGTACTTTTTCGACATCTGAACCTCCAAAAGTGGCGCGAACATGTAGTGCTTTGTACATTTTGACTTCGAAATGTGCTTCGCGCCACAACGGCGTGCACTTTTTCGACATCTGAACCTCCAAAAGTGGCGCGAACATGTAGTGTTTTGTACATTTTCACTTCGAAATGTGCTTCGCGCCACAACGGCGTGCACTTTTTCGACATCTCAACTTCCAAAAGTGGTCCGACAATGTTGTGCTTTGTACATTTTGACTCAAAATGTGCTTTGCGCCACAACGGCGTGCACTTTTTCGACATCTCAACTTCCAAAAGTGGTCCGGACCTGGTGTGCTTTGTACATTTTGACTTCAAAATGTGCTTCGCGCCACAACGGCGTGCACTTTTTGGGCATCGCAACTTCCAAAAGTGGTCCGAACCCCTGGTTCTTTTAACATTTTGACTTCTAAATGTGTTTCGCGCCACAACGGCGTGCAACTTTTCATCTCTCATCTCCCCAGATGTCTCCGCGCCGCTTTAGCGAGCCTACTTTTCAACCCTCCGGAGCCACAAAACCACGAAAAAACACAGTGTTTCGCGACTTTCCTACCTTTTCGCGCACCTGCATCTTCTTTCTTCTGATCTTTTCTCTTCTGACTCTTCTCCCTGCTCACTGCTTTTTCATCTCTCCATATTGTCGGAAGTTTGACTTCCAAACTTCCTTCGATCATGTGCTTTATCATGTTTTTATCATGTTTTATGGCGTTTTATCTATGATCAACCGTTGCCTCAGACGACAACCTTGGCGCAGACTGCACCCGAGACAGCGCCTGAGAGTGCGGTGCAGACAGCGAGCCAAGGCGTAGCGGCGTAGCCGCGGGAGGGCTGGGACATGCAGGGATTATATATTGCATCCCATGTAAGTATTATATTTTATATTTTATTATATTGTAGTATACATATATCATATATGTATATATATATATTATATATATACATATATATACATATATCATATATATATATATATATACATATGAACATATATCATATATACATATGAACATATATCATATATATATATATATGTCCGTTGGTTACTGGTTTGGCCTGATACGTTGTATCTCCATATTCATATCTCTATCATTCTCCATCTATGTCCTGTTTGGACCCCTGGAAATGCCCCAAATGCTCAATTTGATCAGCCATGTATCATCGCTTGATAGATGATCTCCAGATCTTGAAACCTCAGCTGACCCAGCATGTTTTCATCAGGTGCTGGACAGATGTCCTCAAGTACGGCTATTTGAACTGTGCAACTGGGCTGTGCAACAAAGAGGGAAACATTGCCAGACATTCCAATCTAGAATCCCACACAGTACAAATCAATAGGAACCAGTTGGCACCAGTACATCACAAGTCAAGGCAAGACACACCGTTTTTTTGGACACCCCTTGAGGTTAGAACAGCCATTATGGCCATATATGGCCATATATGGCCATTATTGATAGCATTTGATCATTTTGATCGCCGATGGCCTGCGCTTCTTGGATGCACATTTCACGCATTTCACGCATTTCACGCATTTCACAGCGATCAACTCGCAGAGTTCACCAATTTCAGTGACCGATTGGTGGCGTTTTTATCCCTCCATGAACATCCATGAACTGCATTTGCATATTTATCATGTGCATATACCCTCTGGTTATTTAACATAGCCATGGAAAATGGCCCATCTATAGATGGTTTACCTATTAAAAATGGTGATTTTCCATGGCTATGTTAAATAACCAGATGGTAATTTGCATTGGAAACAGGTCTCCTTTCCTGGTCGAAAATCACTGAACCATCCTTTGCATCTTGGATCCGCGACTTCCGAGGATCTTGTCAGGTTTGTGCCATGACGCAGGACACTACAACATGCCACATGCCACGGAAGTCTGCTGGGAATACCATATAGGTAACAGGGGAAAGTACTGGACCACCACAGAAGTCATTTTCCGGTTTACATTTTGGCATGTGATAAGCTGTTTGACCTGACTATCGAATTGTTATATGAACTTACAGAAGCTTGAAGTTGCACGAGAATTGGAGAAGTCATGGATTGATATGGATTCTCAGATTCCAGACATGTATGCATTTTGAGCACCACTGTAAGAGTGCTGTCATCGTACATGTTTAATACGATGGAGAGGCTCAGTTTTTTTTGCCAAGTTTGGTCCTGCTTTCTACTGTACCTATCTGTACCTATGATATCCTATCAAAGGTGATCCATTTGGTATCAGGCCACCAGGTCTATCAGGACTAGTGACTAGTTTTCATGATGTCTCTGTGTTGTCACGTTCCACGCAGGAAGTGCCAAAGAAGCAACTCTGATAGCTTTGTACAAAGACATGCAAAGATTCGCAGTGGAAAAAGTCCAAGCAGCTTCAAGAAGTGACGAACCTAACACACCGAACCTTTCTGCAGCTGGCAACTACTTGTATGGCTTTGATATTTGCTTCAGATATTGGGTTGAGACTGCAACTTGAGATTGGAGGTTGAGAGCATGGACGATTCGCTGAATGGGATGAAGATTGTCTATTTGCAATCCGGGTTGAAGCACAGTGAATGTATTAGGAAGAGCTGAAATGTCGCGGTTGTCCGTCTCTGCATCTTTTTGTGTTTCCAAAGATCTTTTGCAGAAGGCAATTTTCGACCAGTGAGTTCTTCAAACGACCACATCAAGTAAAAGAATGTAAAAGAGTCATGTTCCGATGTTCCGGAATTTTGATGTCAGGGACTGGGCCAAGGAAGTCAAGGCGGAGCCGCAGGGAAATTCGGGTGAAAGGATATGAAAGGATCCATTATCGGATAAATATGGTTTGGGCTTGAGATGGTTTGAGTATGTTTGCGTCTTACATTGGATTCGGACAGAGAAAAGGAGCTTACTTCATTTGTGCAACACATTCGTATGGAACGTAAATGCCACCTTTTGGAAGGATGTTTATTCTGATATTCTCGTCCTGAGATGTCGCGAATATTGCCTGAAAATACCAATGAACACTATATAGACTAAAAAGATCCGTCACGATTCATCATTTCTTTCTGGAAGCAAACAGCTTAAAATGATGAATCAATGATCACCCTAATGACCCAATGTTGAAAGAAAGGAAAGTGGACACAGCAAGGGATCCTTCTACCAGGATAATTAGGGACAAGGAAGGTCAAGAAAGCTCAAGGAAGGAACAGAACAGAAGCTTTGGGGACAATCTATGAGAGACCCACTAGCCCACTGGTGCTATGTGCCTGCTTGCTTTCAGCACGACCAGGAAGAGAAGGATTGGAAGCCGGGGCCAAAGGGTTTGACCTCTACCGTTCAAGACGTTCAAGGCAACTTCAAAACACTAAAGATCAACTGCTACAAAGCATTCTGCTCATTTCCGTCGTGGTACATTTACTCTACATTGCTTCACATGTCAGTGACAAAATCTGTGCAATGCATCAAAGATACCCTGAATGGGCCATGTTTTCCTTATTTTCTGAGGTTTGCTGCAAAGCAGAAGATTTCTCAGGCGCAGACTGTGCTGGATCACCAGTGATCTCCAAGAATTGGATGGTGTATGATGGTGTCTTACACATCTGCAGTGTATCGTGGTACCTACATCTGCAGTGTACAAAATGTCACACTGGATCCCAATCAAATGCCTGTGTCATGATCGGGGAAACAAGGAAAGAATCTTACTCGTAAGTTGAATCAATAAATTAATCTATTCAGATGACCAGCCGTTTGTAGCTCCATGGCTACCAATGGGGCCAGGCGACCGCTCCAAAGACTTCCCCTGTCTCTGGCAGGTGGGGGATTTCTAGTGACATGACGTTTGTTACTTTGATATACCTTGATATACTTTGATATACCTTGATTATGTATTGCGATCATATCTATTGCTGTTCCTATGTGTGATTATTATTGGGATTGAGCACTGTTGCTATAATTGATGATTGCTGATTACATGTCATTGCCCGTATAGTCATAGCGATACAGTATAGTATAGTTATGGATGTTATTGCACATTAAAATGTAGCATTAGTTGTTGCCCAGACTGTTGCAACATGTAACAGATGCAAGGAGTCCTGATATGAGACCCATGTCCATTGGCCACTATGGGCCGCAGTATAGGCAGTATTGCCAGTGTTCATATCATACCGTTCAAACAAACGGTTTGTTGAAGGCGCTATATCAAACATGCAGTTCATGCATTGGCTTCCGACAGACAGACATCCCATTTGTCACATTTGCCACGTGGCGTGTCCAGATTTTTCCGTTCCGCAAAGTCTATGGGAGCAGATCAGAAATCATGATAGGTTTGAAGTAAATCGAGTCAGATGAACAAGAGCAGCTATTATGAGATAGGTCAAAGATCAGCCCAGTAGTTGAAGTGGTTGGCTTGACAATGGATTCATGATCTTGAGATGTTGATTCGTGGTCTCTATTCCCATACGCAAGCAGACATTGAGGACTGCTCCTTTAGATGGATGGGAAGTCGATCAACGGGGCCGCTGGTGGCACCAGCATCGTTTTTTTGGCCGCGTTGGGCATGGTGAAGGACGTCTATGATTCACTCAACGCGTTGAAACATAATGAAAGTGCATATGTCTGGCAGAACCAGCTCCAATCACATTATATGACAAGACAATCAATTTGTTTAAATACATTATATCATATCATATTATAATATAGTGCAGTATATTATATTATATCATAGCAACTATTATAATATATTATAATATGTGTTATTATATTCTATTATGATATACTATACTTTATTATAGTATAAATAGTATGCTATACCATACTATATTGCATTATATTACATTATATTATGTTATGTTAGTTTACGTTGCATCATTATATTTTGTTATATGTTTAACATTACATTATATTATATATTATATTGCGTTATTATACTATCTTATATTATGTTATATGGTGTTTTATATTACATTATATTATGTTACATTATATTTTATCAGATCATGTTTTATTATATTTTATCATAGCATGTTTTATATTACATTATATTATGTTATATTATATGACATTATATCATATTTTATTATATGATGTTATATTATATTAGATTATATTCTGTTATGTTAAATATCACATTATTATATGATATCATATTGTATTATCTTATGTTATATTAGATTATATGTTATTTTATTGTATTATTATTATATTATATGTGTTAGGCATTTCAGTGGAGGCAACTCAGCCAATCCCCGTGCCAGGTTTCGTGTCATGGCTACAGCCTTGAGCATCCGGCGTCGCCCGGAGGTTTGGAGTCCTGATGATATCTGGGAATCATTTGGCACGTCACGTGGTGCATTTTGGTGTAGCTCTGAGCTGCTCAGGTAGATGCGCCACTAGCAGGTGAACTTCCTTTTGGTGAGGTGTTTCAGGTGCCGAAATGGTTGGAGCTTTGATGATCTTGATTCTGCGGAGATTTGGTTGGCGTAGCCGGATATGAGCATCAACACAAGTGTTACAATTGTCAGTGTACTTGCAGAATACAAATTCGAAAGGCGCCCACTGCGCCCAAGACATCCCAAGACTCCTTGAGCTGAATCACCTCCATCAGCCAGAGTGCATTAGACTCACTGGACATCCGGACATCCCTTCGCCAGGCGGTTTCATCCACCGGGGAGGATGGCTTCAGATTCTTGGAATTGTCTCGAGGCGGTTGGACGCCACCCGTCGTCCAGCCGTGTCCAGCTATGTCCAGCGTGTTGCCATCCGCCAGGCCGCGGCTGGGTCTTCAGCGATGCACGGGTGATGACCCCAGCTGTGACTCCAAATCCATGGTCAGTCCATGGTGACTTGTGACATGTCTTGGCAACTGGTAGTTGGTTAGGGAATCCCCAGTGTCTCCAAAATATACCAAAATGATCCAAAATGATTTTCACCATTTTGCCTTTGATTGGAACAGCAGGATTCACAAGCCCTTGGAATAAAAACAGATGGTGCAAAGCATTAGGTGCAACCTGTACTCGTGATCGACGATGCTGGCCAAGCGGTTGGGAATCCCAGGTTCCAACTATTTGCCCACATGAAGGATCAGATGATAATATGGATATTATATATATAGATATATGAATCATAAACGATCATGGAAATCCAGCTTTTTCGGCCTTTTGACCTTGACGCTACTGATCACGCGTATCAATGCTAGCTGCGACAGTCGCAGGATGAGAATTTGTATGCGGAAACACTTACTCAATATATAAATATCTATAGCAATCTGTATAATTATAGTTAATTATACGTATTCATATATGTCATGTGCATATCAAGTATTGATAGAGCGACACAGAGGGTGTGCCGGAAAGCCCAGGTGACCGAGATGCAAAATGCAGAGAGGACTCCTGGCGTGATCGGATGGTTGGCAGTAGGGAATATCAAAGGTATCATTGCTAAATTCATCGGAATATCATTGGAATATAATTGGAATATCAACAGTAGGGAATCCATTGGAATATAATGGTAATGGAATGTTCATGACTGTTGTTGAATTGTTCATGACTTCTCAACGTCTCCATGCAACTTGGCTTTGCTTGCTTTGCTTGCTTTGCTTGGGGCTTGTTCGAATTCTCACATGGAATCACGCAAGAAGCGGTTGTTGAGCTGTTGATTCTTTGGAAACCAATATTCGATATGTGTTGCCTCGATCTCAAGCATTATTGCCAATCAAGCACTACTACCAAGTCCAACCACCCATGGCATTCATCACGCGTCACCACGGACATAGCTAGAGCTTGGAAAAAGACAAGTGATCGTATAGCATGGAAACACGTTCTCACCTTCAATCTCTTGCAACGCTCGTCCACGTTGTGACACGAAGGGAAGCTTTCATGAGTACAAACAAGTTATAGATTGCTATACAAGGCTATACAAATACACCTTGGGATGATCGTTGATTAAGAATAATTACATAATTAATCATATATATACATATATATATATATCATATATATATAATTATCATCAATTATCCAGAATTCATGTTGCTCCACTTAGAGTTCCTCCATTACCCAGCCACTTTGCTGTTGGCCATGGCGAAAGTTGAACAAGTGGAAAGTAGCTGGTTTTGGGACTGGGATGCCAAGCTGGCAGCCAAGTCTCAGGTTCACTGGGGTGGCGATGTTTGTTGTGAAATATGGAGACACCATTGTAGGATTGTCATTCGGTATTGCCAGTATTGTGATATTAGAGAAATGACAAGATACAGTATGATGAGATCATGGTCATGTTTGTATTTCGGATCCTGATGGAATTCTTGAGGCTGCAACAACCTTTGGTAATTTGAGAATCATGTTCCACAGATTGGGCACAGAGCCAAATGAATGCAGTGCTGATCGTTCTCGTTCCAGATACTAGTGGAACCAGCTGCTACTTGTAGCTGTGTTTCTGTCACAGAAAAATCAAATTAAATGAGCTGAGACATGCACATGACATTCCCCAGCATTCAGAAATTCATGTTGCTGTGGAGGCTCATGCGGACTTCCAAAAGCTGATGAGGCACTTCATCGACCTCTTCCTCTTGATTCAGAGAAGTCTATTTTGTGACCATTTTTGAGATTCTATGGATTCATAGTGTATTTGAAGTCATATTTGACTCGCCGCGTTTTTCCCAAAAGCATCTTCGATGCTTGGGTTCTCGTTTATATAGTCTGTTATAGTCTGTTAACCGCGTGGGGAGCGAGCTGATTTGCGCAGACGCGTGCGGACGGTGTTGGCGCAAGGGAATGGATGGAAGTGGGTGGGGAGAAGGGCCCAGTGGGCATGAGAGAGCGTGAATGCGCAGACGTTTGCGGACGGTAAATGGGCAATGGAATGGGTGGAAGTAGGTGGGGAGATGGGCGGGGACAAGGGTCTCGTCGCCTCCCTCGTGCTTTCTTACTCTTTCTTTCGGGCCACACTGTCGTCTACTTTTATAGAGAGTTGGGCCACCAGCGTAGACCCTTCCCGCAGGTGAAAAAAAAACTGCCGCAAATCTTGCAAGCGCATGTCTTCATGATCTCACATTCTAAAAAGTTGGTGGGGAGGGAGGAAGGGAGGTGCCAGCAACCAAGCATTAATCCGATTTGTTTGGCGTCGTTTTGCTTTTGGGTTCTCCGGTCCTCCCTTGTTTTGCCAATCCATTAAAGCGAGACAAGGACACTGAAATTCTGCCCCACATTGCAGACTGGGAGGAGGCAGGGCATGGCAAGGCTCTATGACTCTCCTGGTCCATGGCCATCCATAGCCGTGATGCCAGTGGCAGGCTGGAGATTACCCTGAAGAGTTGACTGCGAAAGCCTATGCGGCAGGCATCTATGCTCATGGTTTGCCGAAGGAATATGGCTCCATGGCTGGAGGATTCATGATTCTGGAGGGTAGTAGGACATGAGCATTGAATTCAGAATATACTGTAGGTATCTGTAGGTTTCTTGTTTTTTTTGCATTGTTTTTGTTGCCGTATCTTTTCCAAGTTTCATGCTATGCCACACACGCTTGCCTCACTGCAGTTTCCTTGTGTAAAGACGGTCTCAGACTGAGGGGGAACTGGGGACGTGATGGATGCTTGGTCCCGCTTCATTTTCAACGTGCCTTGCCAGCAAACTGCGGTTGTATCCTCCGTTGAGGAAACCATCTCAGTTTTACCATGTTTTACCAGAGATAATCTACTGCTCGCATACGTTTTCTAGACTCCAAATCCTGCAGGATGAGTTGGGCAGAGTTTGTGCGGGTGGTTTGTGGGCATCCTGGCTGACGCATGGCATTTCCTTGCCGCCCATCTTAGCCTTGGGCGATGAGAAGCAGAAGCAGTTGTACGCGAAGGACCACGTTATAATAAACAATTAAACAAATAAATCAATATAAATCATCCATGACCCTTGATCTTTGTTCATTCTTTGTTCATCAATGTTCAGCACTCAGTTGATCACTGTATTCTTGTCAAGTAGCAGCTATTGCCACGTGAGTGGTTGAGGATTTCTGCAGGTCTTTGCAAGAAAGAACATGCAGAATATTGCATGACTCACTCAAAAACGCACACCTCCATGAAGCAGGCTTCGCTTTCACAGCGTATGTCGGAAAGGTACGGAAACGTCTCTACAATTTTACTATTTACTATTGCACACGAAAAAGTTTTGTCACACATAGTGTCGTGGAAAAAGGTCTTGTTGAGGAAACTAGTGCTCGTATATCAATTACGGATATGACATCATAATACATTATACAACCATAATAATTTAATAATGCTATCATAGTAATTAATAGTACCTATTCTATCCTATCCCATTCCTATCCCATTCCTAGCGGTCAGGACATCATCACTGGCCGCAAGCGCTGCTCCCTGGCCATCACCGAGCCCGGCTTCGGCTCCGATGTCGCGAACATGGCCACCAGCGCTGTTCGAGAAAAGGATGTCTTCGTGGCTTGGAGATGGTGCGAGATCCCATGGGAAAACATAGGAAAACATTGGGAAATCCGGTGGTTTTTGTTGATTTGATGGTAAGATCCATGTAAGATCCCTACTTACTTGAACATCTTGAACTATCTTGAACTTAACAAAGGCATCTTAAGACACTCTGAAAATATATCCAAATTTTGCGCTTCAGCTGAACCAGGGGCCCACATTTAGTAGTGAAATTCGATCATGCATGCACATCCATTTAGTAGAGCTTGAGGCTATGCAGGCCGTTTCTTCACTACAAAATGGTTGCACAGCCCCAACCCTTAATTGACAGGGGGTTACAAAGGCAGTGTTTGCTGGTGAGATGGAGGCCGATGAAAAATGAAGTCCACAATTGAAGAATCATGTGAGAACTCCTAGGTCCTAGAGTCCTATAGTTGGTCAGGTCATTCAGAAAAGCAACTCCTTGCCTTCTCTCAGTGCAATATTCTTTCTTCCGCCTCTAGAAGAGATTTTGCACTTTGATGAGTCATACAGCAGAAACGTGTACACACTCTTACCCCTGTTCAAAGGTTGGTCATAGCTACATGCCACTGGTCGCAACTTGCTGAGGTAGTGAATGGGCAAAAGACCTTCATCTCTGGTGGCATGCATGCAGAATCCAAGCTGCAGATAGAGGATTTGGTGACTTCCAAGATCATTTTGCTGCAGCCCTTAGAGCAAATTTGTTGAGTCAACATGTTTGAAGACAGCGCATGACCGAATGGGAGCAGACCCAGGACTACTTCACTACAGGTGTTCGCACTGGCCTCGCTGGTACCGGTGGGGCAGCCAAGTTGGGTAGTTTGAATCATTTTGAAATATTTTGAATTAGAAAAAGTTGGAAGTGTCACAGTTTTCCACTTCGTCCGTAGGATGATGGCCATGCCACGGTTAAGGAGGGATTTCTCTCCTGATGATTCACCGGGACACTCCGGGGGTGCAGACAACGCGTCTCAAGACCCAAGGCACCTGCTGTGAGTAGTTGGCCGAGTAGTTGAGAGCTTGGTAAGAGGAAGATAAACGCTTTTGAATGCTTTGGGATGATACTCATATAGGATTGCGGACTGGTCTGGGTTTGATAAAACATGATAAAACCATTTACAAGACAAAGACTCTGCATCACCTATTTCATCTCCTATCCCTTGATCAGCAGGCTGGAATGTGAGCACGACCACCTTGATAGCCTTCAATGATGCGCGTGTGCCCGTGGAAAATCTTTTGGGAACCGAGAACCAAGGCGCAGCAGTGCAGCAGCGGTTTGTGACATAGGATCTTACAATATGTTACGCGCTGGATGGTGATGGCGACATCAACATGATCGCCCCAAAGCAAGAGATGTGACAGTTCAATGTATTTCACGGGTGTTTTGAGAGGTGTGAAGACTGCAGCATGTCCAGCTGCAAAGCAAGTGACTCAACTTTTTCCTCCCTGGCCAGTGCTACAGGATTCTTGGCAATTATGTTGAACTTCAACAACGAGCGCATGAGTATGGCTGTGGGAGCATGTCGTATGTCACGCTGCTGTTTGGAAGATGCCATCAGGCGGGGGCATCCAACCGATCCAACGGTTGGGCGCTCCGATGCGCTCCGATTCCAGGAGTGTTTCATCGGGACTCTGTGACAGGTATGCGCGCATCAGAAAAGTCTTTGGAAAGCCCTTGATCCAACAACAGGCTTCTTGGGCTTTTCGGGAATCAGGATGGAGAGTGGTTGCGGTGATTGCACTATATTGCACTTAAGCAATGCATTATGTTGCATTCTGCTGGAATAACATGGAATAACATGAAATTGCATTTGCACATATCAAAACAGAGAATTTGCTCTCAGGTCAAGATGAAGTTTTAGTATTTTTTGTTTCAAGGAGAAATTTCTAACAGAGTTGTTCCTTCTTCAAATCCTATGGCAGGATCTTGTCCAAAAAGTGGCCCCGGTGTCGGTCTTGGCAGCTTTCAGGTCATCCGGCACAAGATGATGGACATGGCCAGAGTGGTCATGGCAACCCATGGGAGCCTTGCCTGAAATGACTGGCGTGTAATGGCGATGACATTTTTTGTCCGGTAAGCTGGGAAAGGATGGGAAAGGCAGGAATGATCCTGACCCCTTTAAAAAGAAAAACATACTGTTTTCACAAGCGTTTACCTAGTTTACCTTTTCTTTATGATTGTTTCTGCGTTGCAGAGGACCTTTTCTAGGCAATTGCAGCTCTAGTTAACTCAATGCGAATGACTGAACTGCTTAGGCTGATTGCATCTATCGCAGAAGACATGGATGGAGACGACCACAACCGCATTGCAGGTCGAGTAGCATTGGCCAAGGTCCAAGCAAGTCGAACATTGGAGACTTGGCATTGCTGGCATTGGACATCAAATGACATCAATCACATGGCCAATACATGGTTCCTCAATGTTGTGAATTGCATGTGAAATGCTGTGATATTGATGCGCTTTTCAACTTTGCCAATCTTATGTAGATGTCGTCACATTTCTTGGTGTAAAAGACACGTATTTAAGTTTCTTTAAGAATATTTAAGGTATTTATATGTATTTATATTTATATGCAGGCCTTCAATGGCTTGTCCACAAGCTGTTGCACACTGTTTTGTTATAGGTCACAATAGACATCAATGCAAAGTGTGATGAAGTCACCGCAGTTCCAGGAATTCTGCTCCCGTGAAGCTTCTCAGATCTTGGGTGGACGCAGCTACCTTCGGGGAAATCATATCGGTGGCCGTATCGAACGTTGTTGGAGAGAGGCAGGTCGGCCAACGTAGCCATTGCATGCGATTGACCATGGGCGGCCCTCTGCAGGTCCGTGTGTTCGCCATTGGTGGCGGCAGCAACTTGCCGGGCCATGGGGAAGCGAATGTGGGGCATGGGATGGTGATGGTGAATAAATGTATATATATATATATGTCAATGAATAGTGTTGCCACGGCATGCCACTGTTGACTCCATAGAACCTGCCTTAGCATTGTGCCTGTTTTGTCAGCGCTTCACGTTTCACCTAATGGTAATGATGGTTATGATCAGGAACACAAACACAATCACTATGATGGTGATATTGACAATGACGGCAGGCATAGCTGTGAATAGCAACTACAAAGAGAGACACACACAATACTCGCAGCTTGCCAATAGGCTCAAAATGACTAAGACTAGCCTGAGCTTGGGGAGTGTCTTAGAAGTGCCAGGTGCTTGGGGGTTGTTTGGAGATGTTTGGAGGTGTGTTCTTTGAAACATGTTAAAGCTTTTGATCTTTTGGTTGTCTCAAAATTTGTGATGAACTGCCCAGCCCAGCCGCCCAGGCGAGGAGATCATGCTGGAACTTGGTTCTCGCATGGCAAAGCTCTGACAGACCTGCCGCTCCTGCAAGATGCACGCACAGATCTCATTGGTTTGGCTTACATTTGGATTATGTTTGGACTATTGGCTTGTGTTTACTCCACCTACATCACATTACATATCCTACATCCACGTTGGGTGAAGTGTGTCATAAAACGAAGTTCCTGGCTGTCTCAAGGGTCAGACTGCGCCTTTTCCAATTTGCGTCTAGTGCTTGGCTATTGCATTCCGCCGCGTATGTCGAGCTATTTGTCAAGCTATTTGTCATATCATCCTCGCATTTGGCAACCGGGCCGGAAGGTGAGCTTTTGTCCAGTGTTTTTCAAGCTCCAATAGCTCGATGCAGCTGTAGCTTTCACATTCAATACATTTCAATACTACCACTTCGATCCACTTCGCGCACTTTGTTCGTGTCCGTTTCAACATGTTTCAACTTACAGGTGTTTTAGATTGTTTTAGCTTTGAACCGAGTGGATTTGCTGCACATTGCTGTACCAAATGTCAGTACTGTCAGTTTCCGCCCTCGACAGAAGCTCACATGGTTTCAAAAGCCTGGCCTGGGAGTTGATGATGTTGACATATGTTGAATTATGTTGATGGCACAAGTCAGACGTGGGTCAGACCCGTGGATCGACGCCGTTGAAACAAAAGGTCGCCTCCGGATGTTGCTGGAAGGTGTGGTGATGTGCTCCCAAAGCACCATTTTTAGCTCCTTGAAAAGAAGATCCGTCGAATATGTTCGACCTTTGCGGTGTTACAGTTACAGTATGTTACACCCAACCCGATAAGCCTGCTTCCTGCTTAATTCTGCACGGTCACAGTCTTGCGGCCTCAGGAGACCTCAGGCACCTGCCGAAGCCTCAAATCGCTCACGTTGTAGGATTTTATATAGATGCCGCTCTCGTGGCATCTCGTGGCATCTCGTGGCAAACCTGCAAAACATGAGCAAAATCCTGCAATCTTTAATTTTCCACATGTCTTTCCACAGTTACTCCAACGCCTACTCATGTTTACTCATGTTTACTCCGAAATCTCATTAGCCTTCGTCAACGATCTTGCCCTGCCCAGGGCTTAAGATGATTAAGATGCTTTAAGATGCTTATGTCTAGGCTCATCCAATCGTCGAAGCCTTACCAACCTCCTTCATTTTTCCTCATTTGCCCCAGACATGCCACGCCCATCCAACCCAGTTTCCAAGGTCGAGGCCGAAGCTGAGCCCGAGCCCAGCTGCCAATCACCCAGGCGGCATGTGACGTATGTGACAGAATCTTTGATTTGTTTTTTAAATTCTTTAAATATTTCTAATTACAAATGTGACTGGCACGTGCAAACCTCATCAGATCTCTGCCTTCCTGCTGGTACGCATGTTGGATCATGTTGGTTAGTTTGCGCTTCCCGAGTTGGTTGATGTGGGTTGCAGTGGTAAATGACATCAGTCACATGGCATTCAGCAGGTTTGGATGAGACCGGTACATCTGGCTCATTCGTTTAATAGCAACCACTCATTATCATTTTACCATGACAGGATCTCCGAGTTCAAAGCAAAGGTGCAATCTTGGGGCAAGTGCTGCGAAATGCTTGTTCACGTCAAAGAAGCCCGTGTCTCTTTGGTTCTTTAACAAAGTTGAAAAGCACCAGGAGATCGACACACCTCTGTACGAGTGAGAAAATAGGATAGCACGTTGTTGTCATGTACAGCGCTTCTCTGACTTGTCAACAAAACTACCACATGTGCGAATGAAAGATCTGAAAGGCAAGTCAGAGTGTTTGGGTCGCATCAACACACTTGCAGCACTTGTGCCATCGGTGCTTCTTGCAGAAACCTCTTCGAACTACTGTGGAGCGGCAGAAGCCTCTGCGAGGCTATGCTTTTGGGGAGGGGGAAGTCTTTGGAAGATTTCGGAAGTGTTTGTGATGAGACACTCAGATCTTTGCGAAGTCCGACGTCCAGGGACCTTCCTGTCTGGCACGCCATCAAGGGCACCAATATGCACCAATGAAATGCAATGCAAATTGTTTCCCAGAATATCTATAGAATCATATAGAATCATATAGAACCATATAGAATCATATAGGATCATATAGAATCATATAGGATCTATATGAAATATTATGAAATATTATGAAAGTACAGGGTGCAGCATGGTGAATGTTTCTTCTCCAGGTCGATCTCGTGGAAGCCAGCGGTGGACTCCTCAGTTTTTTTTCGAGTCGGGGCGAGAAACAGCACAGGCTGTCGTCATGTCAATATCAACCGTATATCATCCGTTAAGATCACAATGTCATAATATATATATATATATCATAATATATCTAATAATATATCATAAGCAATCTCTGATAAAGTTCAGGAGACCGATTGTGTTTTTCTTGCTATCATTCTCAGACTGTCGAAGGTTATGCTATGTTATGCTGATTCATTGATTGAGGAAGCGTAGCTGCGTTGTTCTGCTGAAGATAAAGACAAGCTTCACAGAGCTAAACTCCCATTCATGTAAACAAGATTTGCTAAGTCCCTCTTGCATTCAGATTGCAGTCTAGGATTGATTGTTTTTCGTGTGTTGCGTGTTGAAACGACAAGGTGACACTATCATTCTGGAGCCTGCTTGACATGATGGTTGTTAAAGTAGCAAAAGTCGGTTGCTTTTGTTGTCAAACTGATTCTAAGTGTGACTAGCCACGTGGCCAAGTCTGATCTTCAGGCTTGGGCAGCGACAAAGCCAGGCGACCAAGGACTCAAACCCCATAGTCACCATGAAGGGTTTTTGGTGTTGTTTCCGTTTCATAGTCCAGGTATGTCCAGGTATTAATAGAGAATTCTATACTATACATACATATTTACTTTACATGATTTATTTGCAGCATCGTACAGATATTGCACCATACACCTTAAGATTTGATATTTACACCATGAGCAACTTTGCTTTGCAGGAGATGCCCCACTCCACAGCCCCAGCGGCCCCGGCGAAGTTGGCTGAAGTGGCGCCCAATGGCAGCGGAGGGCCTGCCAGTGAGCGAAGGCATGGAAAGCCAGAAAAATGGATGAAGAAAGGGAAAAATATAGAAAAACGAGAGATAAGAAAAGATTGAAGAATGGCGAACACATGGAAATCATGGAAATAGATCAAAATAGATTGGAAAAACTCATGAAGTCTCATGAAGTTTTGATTTTTTTTCCACCAAAATCATACGGTACAGTATCAGAGGTGATCACCGCAGCATTTTCCCAGATTTCAGCTGGAGGCCAGCGGCGCTGGCGCGGGCTTCAACGGGCTCACCGATCCGTGCCACGCGCGCATGGTCCATGGAACCCGAGCCCGTGGAACGGGCAGAGACACGAGAGCCTGGAGCCCCTGATGTTTCAGGAATTTTCATGATGATTGATGATGTTGATGATGTTTCCAACATGTTCCAACATATTTGAGTCTGAGCTTGAAATCTGAGATTGAATGAACCAATTTCTTTGTTCATTCTGTTTAGTTGTGTCCATCTCTACCTTGGGAGCTCATACCTACTTCCCCAGCCGACGTCCTGTTACACTAGATGTCCAGCATGGGCGGCCAAGGCTGAAGATAGACGCCTTTGGACCATTACAGGCAGATGGAAACGGTGCACTGCAGCTGCTGACAATACAAAACGTGCGATGATTCATGATCCAGGCATGGCCCCGACAGCCGGTAGGGGACCTGAGACATGAGTAACTTTGGGGAATTGCAGAATCAGCCATTTACGGAGTTTGCTGATGTTTGTTGAGCAAAGAAACATAAACAAAATTGAAAGGCACAATTATTTCTGTCAGTCATACACAGCTTATTCAGCCTTGCCTACACTTAGTAAGGAGTCATGCCGGTCCAGCATTAACTTCTCTTGAAATTTAGGTTCGTGCGAACCACTCCTTGGCGTCGCAGTTGCTTGGCAGAAGGGTTGGCAACACGGATGCTCCGTCTATGCGTAGCTCACAGGAACCTTGAATTGTCCATGCAAAGATATGCAAAGTCTCACAATTCTTGTTTTGACCAAAGGCTTTAGACCAAAGGATGCTCCAATTCCAAAGGTGTCACTAAGTTCGCTTCGACGGCCATAAAGATGCGAATTGAGTTTGTCATGTTTGTCCAGTGTTCTCAAGGCTTTCCTTCCATCTTTTCATTCTTTTCAGCTTTTTGGTTCCGCATCTCAGGTGTTTCACACCCACGTCACAAAGCTTTGGCGCTGAAGCTGATCGAGGTCTTGAACTTCTTGAACCATGCAAAACTGGATTACCCAAATGGCTGTTGTGAAGACATTCTTGATCATTTTCCCATGCCTCCATATGCCTCCACAGGCCTCCACTGGATTCCATATTCTTGGGGGGTTCATTTGGCTTCTGGCGCACCTTTTGGATAGGGGTGGGATCAATGATTTTCAACGTGCCAACGTCAGAGGTTCTCGGTCGACAGAGATTTGGACCCCCTGGAAACCCGGTGCTTGGAGACGCGCAAGGCATCAAATCTGGGGAGAAGTGGAAAATTCAGATTTTTGCATATTTTTGCTGAAGATTTCTCTGGGGATTTCCGTTCATTTCCACCTCCAGAGGTGAGCAATACAAGACTTGCAAGGGACAAAGACCAATGCCTTTTCCTGAAATGGCGGTTCCCCTTCTTTTCGGAGAGAGTAGACTTCCATATTTTCGAAGATTCTTGGACATGATGACATGATTCATCTCTTTTGCGATTTTGTTTTTTTTATCTTTGCCACAGGAGTGCAGAAGCACAGAATTTTCGGACCTTCTGGGACTTCAGGACTCGGTAGATCTCGGTACACAATTTCTCGCTGACAAATCTGACAAGAAAGGGTTCAATATGGTTCAATGCTAGTGCTAACCACTATAGAGATGTGTAGATAAGAAGCAAATAGAAGGAATTCTGATGTTGCAGAATGTCGCAGATTATTGCAGCATTTGTTCAATTAGCATCAGAAAGATCGAGTGCATCGCCATAACAAATAACAATGAGGACGGCTAGAGAAAACCTGGAAGAGCGCCAGAGAATTCAGGCGAGGATGGAAAAACAACTTCTGGGAAGACGATGAACGATTGTTTGTATGAAGCACCAGCAAACGCGCTTGCACAATATTGCATGGTCCAATGGTTGCTCATGTGCTGCACAAGTTAAATTCGTACATCCATCGTGTTCCAGCTATTTCATAGGGACGGTTTGATACACGTGTCCTCCCACCATCCTGCATCATTCTGTAGGCCGCTTTGTTGAAGGTCGCCTTGCGAGTTGGGCTCTGAGTTGAAGCGAACTGATGGTGCAATGGTGGCATGGGGCGCCAGGTGTGGCAAGGAACAGAATTCACCAAAAGCTTCGACTTCGAAGCGGATGGACTTCTTTCGCACAAGCATTCAAAAATGTTCAAAAGTCAGCTAGACAATCGCAGTGGGTAATGCATAGAGGGTAGTGCATAAAGGGAGTGTACCCAGTGAGTTTGATGCCCATGAGACCCACGAGAGTCCCAAAATGTTGCAGATATAGCACATCTAAATAACTTTGTGGTGATTGTGGTGAATGTCTGAATGACTGTGAATGTAAGGTACATCCAGACGATGCCGGCATTAGGCGAGAGTGATCTGAGCATTCTGAGCGCATCTGAGTGCCACTTTCATTGATTTCTGGGGTGTTGATTGATGCCGAGAGGTCAACCTCGATGCCAGCTCGGTGTCGAAACAGCTGCTGGTTGAGACGTCATGAGGGGGCATGACGGCATGGCAGGACAGAACAGTCTCCAAGATCTACATGATCTACCAAATCTCATTCTATTATATTACATCATATTATAGTATATTATATTATGTTATGTTATGTTATATAATGGTATATAGTAGTGTTATACAATCCTTCATTTGGAACTTGCAGTAAAGGGACCAATTCTGGTTGGTGGGTGGCGGGATGTGGCGGGTAATTCTTGTCGTGTTGCTTTTCTCTTACAGTCGCTGGCATTTCCCTGGCGCGTTTCCAGAGAAATTGCCGGCGCTGAGGCCCCAAACGTTTGCATTTGTTCGATGAGACGATGGTTGATGGCCATTGGAACAATGCGGCGGGCTCGGAGGTTAGAAGATAGATGGACATATAGACTCGTAGCTGGCAGTGTCAAGCAACTTTTTGCTTTTTGCATCACCCCCAGAAAACAGCGCCATTCTTGCAGCAAAGTTTTCATGAAGCTCGGGCACACTCCTGATATGGCATTAAAAAATCATTCAAATAATGAGCCCCGAATCCACTGTGTCTCTCTGACTCGTTGCTTTTGGCTGCATCATGGAAATCATATTTGACAAAATGAAATCGCTGAGGTAGCCAAAAGACCACTCTCGCGTCCGGTCCCCATGACCCTTTGCTTGCAGTCATGGAAGAATGGTCATTGTGACAAGCAACTGCAGGGGCAGTTCACTGGTGAAGGATTGAATCATTAGTGAGAAGCCAAATCCAAATTGATCCAAATTGGCTGGAGTCGTTATGAGTCGTTGATGCAATCAGAATCCAACACGAAACTCATCACGAAACTCATCCAAATTTCATCCAACATCACCTGGATCATCACCTGGATCATCACCATCCAGGTCGTTCCAGTGCGCACGACCTTTGTGACGTGCCTCCCGGGCGCCTTGGTGCTACCCGGGAGCGGCTCGGGCGATGCCCGGGTGCACCAGTGAGTGTGGGGTAGCCCAAGTTATTGACGATTTTGACCTGGTTTTCTATGGGTTTTCTATGATTTTCTTATGTTTTGTTTGGGATGCTTGGGGGTGTTACAATACTGAATTAAATGAATTAAGGTCGACTTCTGTTTGTTTCGCCTTTGTGCAGCCTTTTCGGGTGCGGCATTATGGAAATTTATGGAAACTGTTACGCATGTTCAACGCATGTTCAACGCATCTTCCCTCTTTTCATCTCTTTTCCTTTCCTTGTATGCCATGGCAATCCATGGCAGCCCCCACCGCATGGCCAGAATGTTGCACGCATGCCGCCTGCGGCATGCATGACAGTTTGCCAGTCTTTAGTCAAGTTATATAATGTAGCAACATGTAGCAACTATAGTGTATATATATATAGTATAGTTATATATAGTAGTTATATATAATTATATTCAATTGGATTCAAGGGAGGGAGCTCAATTGTTTTCACGCAGTGAAAGTGGGAAACCCTTGTGGATCTTGTCCACGAAGTCCACCCGAGTCCTGGGCAGCAGGTCTTGAGCCGTCACTGCACTGGCGCGGCATCTCGTGGTGACGCGACATGTTTAAACTTGTTGCCTTAGAAAAAAACTGAGGAGGTTTGTCTTATGCAAAGTCCAACTTGAACAGAGACTAGGATGACTAGGGTATACTAGGGTCCAGTGTGGCTCAGCTTCGCTGGTGTTCATTTGAATGTCTAAGCCGCTGTTCCGAGAAGTGCCACTTTTTGATTCTCTTCGGTCTCTTCTGCATAATATGTTATATAATATACATACAGTAACACAAAAAATGGGTTTTAGTGCTGCCATGACGCTTTCGTATTCTAAAGTCATCAAGTGCAACTGTCACGTACATCATAGCGAAAGTCCAGTTGACTGCCAGGATACGAATCACGTTGCATTGCAGCCAAAGTTTTGTAAGTGGATCCATGCTGTGTCAGGCTTCGATTGTTGATGCGCCAGGTCAAAGTAAATCTTTGACCCCTCGACCAGAGCTTGCCGAAGACCGTGTGGCGGTTTGGCCCTCAGACTGAGATCCAGATGCGTATATCCAAAACAATCTGATTTCAACATGGTCAGCCTGATTTCGTTGTCGCATGAGAAATGCATAGCTGGTTGAAATATCCGTGGTCTCATTGGGCTCACATTGCGTGGAAAAAGTGCAACAAATGCGGAAGGGCATTCAATATCATTCAGTCCATTATTTAGAAGACAGCAATCAGATTTGAGATATTGTGCTCATATGTGCGCACAGGGGCAAATGAGAGATCGTTTGCTTCTTGAACTTGGTTCTAACTCGTGGTGGCGGCTCTCCTTTGATGCTACAGGAGTTTATGTTCAGAACGAAGTTGTTGGGAATTGTTTGCTGGCTTGGACTTAGGCCCAGCACGTAATTAACATCCATAGGTTGTTCGGAGTCCTGAACGTAGATGAATTAAAAGGTTCTTTGATGTTCTTTGTACATGTTGTACTTGTTTGATCTCTGACAGAAGCGCTTACTTTTTTTTGCTGAAGCACGTTGGGGATCGTCGGGGTTCCTTTACCGGCCAGTGCCAAGCCCTGCAGCACTAAAGCATTCCAGATCATTCCAGTAGATCCCAGGCTTAAGATGGCTTAAGCACATCAGACATCATCAGACCTTAGTTGGTTAGGCTATGTTGGATCATGATGGTCATGTCATGTTTTGGCTATTTTTTGGTACCTAATTTGCCAGTCACCACTGGACCATCAGTGGACCATCCAACAGGAACCAGAATTCGTTTGTGCTTGGTATTTCTTAATTGGTCCAAACATTTCCTGTCACAAACAGATTGGAATGTGCAGCAACGTGGCAACAGCTTGTTACCCAAATCTGACAGGTTTGGCAGTTTCGCACCGAAAGTTGGATCATCGCTCCAGTAATTCCCTCCTTTGTAGGCAAGACCAGCTTGTTGAATTTCGAGTGTCCGCAGGTATGCCCTCGATATGGCCTTGCAGACATTCTACTGCGTGTTTAAGTGAGTTATTGGCCTGCCAGTTTGCCCTAGCTCGCTCTTTCGCAAAATCTGGAAAGGGAACCTAAGGAAAACGCTACGCCCCTAAGGCATCAAGACATTAGAAGGGTTCAAAAAAAAAAACTGATCTCATGCTGTTCTGACGCTTTGCACTATGATCTCATGATATCAATCGACGTGGGCAGACTTTTTGTATGCAGACCAGTTCGCGCTTGAGCTTTGTCAAACATTGGTCAATGGTGTGTATAAAATTGTATAAATGTCCATGGCATTCTGGAAAAAGTTTGACAGAGCCAAGTGTTCCCCAAGGGCTCCAGTTCCATATCCGATCATCCCAGTGTGATTTTGGATGAGGACAGGACACCAAGTATCTCCCATGATTCATGGAGCGAGTCCCATTGGGGGACCTGTGTGACTTCGTTCTGGCCGTTGCGGGTTTTTGGCGAGAATCGTCATAGATGTCACAGAATCGCAACTTGTAATATTATGGTTCGCATGGAGTTCGCAAGGAGCCTTCTGGATGGTGCAATCTCATCAATCTCAACTTGAGGACTTGAGCCACTAGACACAGGCCAATGGCCAACAGTGCCACAACATGCCACAAGATGCCACAAGTGTATAATTAATGATCTTTCCATATATTTCTATTAGTATGTGTTTACATGTGTTTACATGTGTTTACATGTGTTTACCCAGATAAGATTCGTGAATATTGAGCCACTTTGAGCTTCGATTTTTTCCAAACCTCGAGCTGCACCGCCAGAGACGCCTCGCGCGAGATGTGAGCGCTTTCCATTACTGACTGATCCTGCCCTACCGTCAGTCTGAGGTCCAAATCGTGGCCATTCACACCGCCAAAAACGGATATCAGACAACCCAGTCAGAAGATGTCGATCAAAAGCTGTCATGATTTGCTAAAATATCTTAAGATTATTAGTTTATTTTAGACCTCTTTTTCAATCGAATGATTGCGGGAACCCAAGGACACCATGCATTCACGATTCGCAACGATTCGCTAGTTACCAGGGCATCCTGTTCATCCCTTCAAGGACCCGGCCCGACAAGTTCAGACAAGTGCCTTCAACTGATCTGCTTGGTGGTGTCAAAATGTGCCGAATGGTGTTTCATGTTCCATCCTATTCCATCTTACTTGTAGTTGATGATTCATGATGATTCTACATTGACTACTGATTGACTACTGTATATATCGTTAAAATGTGTTTATGATTTCGGGAAATGGGGTGAATCCAACAACCGGTGAGCAATGGTGGCAATATGTGGCAATGATGACAGCACATGACAGTAGAATGTGCGGATATCCTCCTGTTTGACTTTCAGTTGAAGGCCATCATGAGAGTCTTGGATTGGATTTATAGCCAGAGCTGCACACGGCGCTATGATTTGAAGTCAGCTAAGAGATTCTATGAGCAACCAGTCCAAGAACCAGTCCAAGGCTGCTTGTGAAAAACAGTTGCAGCGACATGTAGTAACAATGTAGTATCATCCAGTTGCGTTATGTTGCCTTACCTTTGATCATCATTAGACGTTGGATACTGGATGGGTTGCGAACTTGGGGAGTACTCTAGGCGTTCCTCCCAAGACGTATGCTTTGGATTTATCGTTTCGAAATGTTCTGAAGGTGAGATCTCAGGACGGACATTTTTGCAGGTACGGTCAGACATGGTCGACATGAATCAATGACTACCGACCAGAATTACCGTATGGCCTCGCATGTTGCAGGAGAAAAAATGGTGCGATGGTTTTGAGATGTTTTGAGGAGAGCTGTGGAATCCTGGACCAAGGCAGAGCCCACCAAGCCCACCAGGCCCACCATAAGATTCCTGAGTCGCTTCTTGAAAACTCAGGTTGGAAGTTGGAAGCGATTTTGCCGAAAGACTTGCTTGTAGGTTGATGATCTATTGCTGTCGCTTGCCTATCTCACAAAACGAGAGGAATGGGCCTATCACGTACCACATGTTTCGTCCAAAGCATCGCATGGACATCGGAAGCAGACAACTACGTACCTGTACTGTACATTGCAGTGCCTCGATCGTGTCGGTAGTTGTCCAACAACTTAAACAACTTTCAGCATTGAAACCATGAAATGGTGTTTCCCATGAGCACCAGACCGGATTTCACATCAAACTGCACACTTCCAGACTCTAAACACATCTAACATCCACGGAGAAGCGACGAACCCGTTCGCAGCATGTCAGCCTGTAAACCCAGGGATGGGCGGAAATGCAGTAGAAAAGAATTCAGATACTGAATCTTCACTGGCATTTTGTCGTGACTTGAGTGCGCTTACTTTCCATAGACTCTTCAACTCCGAGAATTTGTTTCTGCTCAGAAGTGCCCAGACAATTTCAATGTTCTGCTGAATTGAACTTCTTATGTCGGCAAGCTTGTTTCTGAGCAGGCTTTGCAAGTCATTGCTCAAAGAACTTCAAAGAGTGTTTTACAAGAACTTGCGCTTCCACGGTGACAGAGAACTTTGTCCATTCCCATCCATTGGAAACTGGAATTAATTCGTCCCTGGTAGAATCTTAACATATCTTAACGAGAATCTAGCATCGAGCTGAGGCAACGACATGGTTGGCTGGCATTTGTGCTTGACCCTCGGAGAAATCTTCTGTTCGGTTCATACACCTCCACTTCCTGGTTTCTAAAATACGGTATGATACAGTGAAATCTCCGTTGCCAGTCGCCAATAAGCATCAATAAGCATCAAGAAGCTAGTCTTTTCGGAGTGAACCAAGACCCAAACGTGTTGGATGTTTTATGTGCATATTTTCTGTAAAAAACAGAGGTGTTGGACATATTGAGTGATATTTCAAGCTTGGCCAAAGCACACAGCCGCTGTTGTGTAGTCCCACGCCCAACGTCTTGGTTTCGCCAGGGTTTCTTGGCATTGATGCTGGTGCTGGTATACTACGTTCGCAGCTCAGCAGAAGAAAAGGCTATTGGAATAAATTAGAAATATATTACATTAAATATATTTAAATTAAATATATATATCTAATATATATAATATATAATAATATATATATACTATATATATAATATATATAATGAAATATAATATTGAAATGAACTGCAAATGAATTACATTACAATACATGAAATTGCTGGTAGCAGATTTCCACTGACCATATTCATCTTCAATCATAAGACAATGATGTTTAAAACAATAGAGTTCTACAGTGCAACTTCAAACCATTGACCGTTTCTTTCATGACCTGGTCCCAGCAATGGCTGCATTTACACCTGAGATTCTTCTCTCCCGTCTGACGAAGTATTTGCCGACATGTTTGCTGCTGGGTTGTGTCCAATAGCTCAATTCTTTTCCATTGTTTGACCAATCAACTAAAATGCCCAGCTCGAGCTGAGTGCCCTCTGAAAATATTCACTAAACAGGTGAGAAGACAGCCACTTCGGGTAGAACAAAGACAATCAACTCCCTACCAGATCTGCCAGCATGCTGGCATTCCTGACAGTGCTAGATTAAGCTAGATTTATATTGGCAGCCCAACTAGTGTTCGGAAGTGCTGATGGCAGGAAGAAGGCGAAAGGCAGAAAGAAACGTCGGCAAGATCTTGCTCAACAGGAGGATGGGTACATTTGACACAGCAGATAGATCGGTACAGCTGGCACAGAGCAGTTTTGGCAGACCTTGACCAGTGCCTTTCTCGCCAGGATCCCTTCGAGCCGGCAGCGCGCCGGCACAGCGTCCGAACACCAGAACCAGGTTGCAGCGGTTGTCGCAGTTTTCTGCAATCTGATGAGACTTCACGGAACACGTCGGATCACTACAATGTGTTGTTTGTGGCTGTTTGTTGCACTAATTATCACTGTTTCTTGCACTAATTATTTTCCCTTTTCTTTGCAATTTTGTGAATATAATCAGGATTCCTCACGTTGGACGTGTTGTTATGCCTTCGAAAGCATCCGTACATCTGACTATAAAAGATTGTGAACCTGAAGGTGAGCGTGGTCAGATGACGCAGATGACCAAAGAGGAGATGGCAGCACATCTAGCAGCTGTGCCTGCAAGCCAGGAAGAGAGGTTTGTCTGTGTTGATACTTAGGATCTCGTGCACACAATAGACTATAGACTGCAAGTTCTGAAGTCGGGCTCCGTTGTACAAGTCCAATGAAGTCCATGTTTCCGGCCAGAATGGGAACTGCGGACAGATCGATGATGATCAACGTCCAGATATTAGCCAGATGGTATGGGCAGGGGATGGCAGGGGCAGGGCGGTTTTCCAAGGGCCGTGGCCCAGAGACCATCGAGAAAGAGCAAGCGCTCAAGCAGGGGATCCCAGGAGCAGATTTGTGGTGAGCGAGGTGAGCGTATGTGAGAGTGGTTAGTTGAGAGCTTCGGCAGAGGCCAATACGATCCGATACCCGTGATATCCATTGTAATTACAATATTGTACATACACAACACATTTTCTACACATACACTCACATACATTCAATATTATTCAATGTGTATCATCATATCATATCCAAGTATCATCAAGTATCCAAGTATCCGATTCTGATTCATTAAAGAAACTGACCGCAGATGCTCCAACCGAGGCGTGACGCGCTACACGTTTTCCGAAGATTGCAGCACTGTGCCCCAGAGGCACAGTGGGCACAGCGGGTATGGCATGCAATGACTTCAACATTGCGCCAGGGTTCGCGATTGTGGTTGAACAAGAGTTCAGACTTTTGAGATCGAAAGCAGGTTCCCCTCCCAACTAGTTACTGGATGTTAATGGTAGGAACGTCCAAGAGCATGGATTGCGGGAAGTAAGATCGTGTAGGCTTCGCACAAAATGGTTTGTGATTAGAATTCTTGCAATTGAAATCAAGGAGAGGAGCGTGCTCTATGCAGAAGCTGCAGGAATCTGAGACACGCGACTGTTTTCCCCCAAGACAAAGTCAATCGCGGACAACCTAGATCATGGAGTGACAAAGTAGGTTTGAAGATGTTCTCAGGTCGTTGTGTACTGATAAATGCTACTTATAAGATCTTATAAGGAAAATAGAATCATATAGAATCGGTTGCCAAGATTTGTTAAGCAGAATTGATGCCAGGGACATCCAGCTGTCGTGAGGTGAAAGTTTTTGACAGCTTGGAGTCACGAGGCTTCTCAGGGATGGCAGAGCTGGCATGTTTGGAGTTGTTTAACCACCACATTTGAAGCACCATGTCTTGCTGATCTTATCATAGTTTATCAGATAGTTACAGATAGTTTATCATCTTTTATCATCTTTTTATCAATTTTGTGAGGAGATATATAAAGTATGGGAAAGTATGGGAGAATTGTTGGCACTGGGTGCTGGATTTCTTGATACATGATATTACATGATCTACAGATTTCTACAGATACCATGCAGCAATGGACTTGCTCCTGGCTTTGAATTCTTTCACTTGCCAGGGATCTTTGACGCGGGGAATCTCAGCTTTGATCTGTTTTGATGCCGTCATGCTATGAGTTTCCGGACAGGATGTATGTAATATGTCGTAATGTATGGCAAAGACAGATATCTTTCTGCAGGAACAGAAACTATCAGAAACTATGCGAAACCCAGTCTGGTTTTCACTCAGTCGCTGGTTTTAACATGCCACGTTTATCCACGTTTCTGATTTGCTGAACCATGGCTGCAGATCTGCTAAAATTGTCTTCTGCAATGCGGTGATGGAATGCTTGGAGCTCAGCGGAAGTCTTGACACCGGATGAATCGGGCGACTCGAGGAAGCAGCCATCATTTGCACCAGTTCATTTGCCATCATTTGCCCATGTCAAGGCCTGTGAAGGTCTCTTGAAAGCCTCAGATCCGTCAAGTAAGATGAAGAGCA